CTTCAGTTTGGGAGGATGGAAAGTCCTGGAGATGGTGGTGAGGAGGCTGCAAACATGTGAATTTGCTTCATGCCCTGAGCTGTGCACCTAACGATGGTTAAGATGGTGAGTTTTATGTTATCTGTATTTTAACACACCTGAAATAATTTTTTTAGGTTTTAAAAAAACAGTTACAAAATACAGTCTTTGTTTGGTCATTATCTGAGGAGCGCAGAGCCCTGGGCCTCAGCATGCTGCAGCCTCACCCCGGTGCTCAGACAGGCTCGTTAGAAGGCATCCAGGCAGGTGGAAGTGGGTGAGGAGTTCTCACACTTCTGGGCGAACCTGGAGGGGCACCAGAGGAGGTGAGAGAGCGTCCAGACTGGGCACCCATGGAGGATGCGACCCACCTGCTCAGGGGAGCGCCCACACCTCCATGTCCGGCAGCCATTTCCATTCTGTGGCTCTTTGTTAGGGGCAGATTCGGTCCCTTGTTAAGATATATAAACAAATGAAGCCCGCATGTTTCGTGGGTGCCCCGCCCCCATGAAACGCTGCATGTCTGAGAAGAGAGGCAAGTGGGAATTTAGGCACATTTACAAACTCAAATTGCTGGCGAAGAGGAGATCCAGGCAGGTACTGGGTGTTCGGCTTACAGCTCCGAGATCTGAGGGGTGGAGACACACGCCCCAGGGGCTGCAGAGGAACTGCGGTGGCAGTGAGGTCTGTCAGGCTCCGGGGGACGTTCTGGTGGATGCACACATTGTGCGGGGGCTGTTTCCTGTTCTTTAGAAGGACCCTGGGGCATGGGTGCGGGGCCAGACCACTGTGAGCAGCAGCCGCAGCTGGGGAGCTGCGTGGGGCTTGCATTTCTGCTCAGAAAACAGCACCATGTCTAAGTCCCACTGTGCAGTCCCCACGCTCACATGTTGGAAAAGTTATCTGAAACTTTGAAATAAGGCAGAAGGCTGGTGACACATCCTTTCCAAGCCGTGTGGGAGGAAGGCCACTCAAGGATCATTCAGGGAACTTAGGTTTTGCCTCTGGTGCTGTAGTCTTACCTGACGCCCGTAAGCCCCCAGCCACTCGCACACCTTGCAGATGGGCTTTAACACAACCCCGCTTCCCTCTTGAACAAGGTTTTTGACAAGTGTTTATTCTGTTTCTGTGAATGCTGTGACTTCTTCTTCTGAGTATTCTTTGCATGGCCAACACTGTGGCTTTGCAGCAGAGCCCAGTTCTGTCCATGGCGGGGCGGCTGCACCTGTCCCCTGGAGGAGCTTCCCTCCGGAGCATGCCTCTGGGAAGAGCACCCAACCCCTGACTTGAAGTGGTGCCTCCACAGCTCCCGTGCCCCCGATACCCAACAACAGATAAACACACATGCTGGGAACAAAAGTGACGTTCTGCCTTGAAACAAATAAGGCAGAAGATCTACGACAAATTAACTGAGAAAAGAAAGAATGGGGAGCACAAGAGAGGCTGTGAGCTGCCCAGGAGACAGTCTCGTCCAGGCCCCGGTGACAGAAGCCCCAGCACGGCCGGGGGCAGGTGGCCCGGCTCCTGCAGGTCTTGACGCAGGAGTGCCTGCCCTCCCACTGCCGGGCAAGCCTACGGTCCTGTGCAGGAGCCGAGGGGAGCTGCCTGGCGGCCCCCAAGTGAGGAAGGGTCTTCCAGAGCCCAGCCCTGCCCCACACCCAGACTGCAGCATTTGTGTGTGGGGGGGTGTTACTCTGAAAGTGAGTTCATCCTTGGGGGACTGTGGAAGAATGCAACGGGTATCTGATCCACTCGCTTTTACAGACAAACTTCAGAAACCTTTGAGGAACAGAAAATACCTGTTCAGCTAATATCATGAAACCGGGAACCCCTGTGCTGCGTCAAAGCCCGGCAGAGCCAGCACAAGGGAGAATTGTGTCCGGACCACCCTAAATAGAGCTGTGGCTAGTTGTCTCCTCCTGTGTCATGAAATAGTCGGCCGCAGTGGCCATGGGAAGTCCTGGGATGGGGCGGTGCACCAGGCCAGGAAATAACTGCCAACGTTCTGACTTAATATACTGAAGGAGGAAAGCTCACCGCGGACAGTTATCCAGCCCCAGTTAGACAGACAGACAACGAAACACTGTAGAAACAAAATCTCAGCAGATCACTGTGCATTGAAAAGCCCGTCTTTGTCCCAGTGGTTTGAGAGGACCCCTTTTTTTCCCCACAGATCTTAGCATATGATGAAAAGCTCAATGAATTTTGCCATGTGTGCACTCATGTAACCACCTCCCAGATCAATATGTCAAACATTCCCACTAATTTTTCCCCTTCGCCTATTTTCCCCACCCCACCCCCCACCCTCTCCCTTAGTCAACCACCAGTCTGTTTTCTGTGTTTATGAGTCTATTTCTGGGTTTTTTTGCTTGTTCGTTTGTTTTGTTTTTAGATTCCACATATAAGTGAAATCATATGGTGCTTGGTTTTTTTTGTACCAAATTTCCATTTGTACTTGGACCTGTTTCTGGATTCCTACTCAGGTCCACTGACTTACTTGTCTGTCCATGCCTGGTACCCAAGGATTGTACTAGTGGAAGCCTGACAGTGCGTTTGAATACTTGAATAGACACCCCTCCCCCCATTCCCAGCTGCTGCCCATGGCCCTGGAGAGGGAGACAGTAGGCATCCCTTGCCTGGCCTCCTGATCTTACTGGAAACACCTAGGTTTCTCCATTGAGAAAGCTGCTGCCTTAAAATAAGACAGATGGACACACCCACACACATGCACATGCACATGTTATCATGTTAAGAAACTGTCCACAATTCCTATTTTCTTGAGTGTTTTTATCAGGAACAAGTTTTGAATTTTGTTGAAATCTTTTCACCATCATGTAGATAATCATGAGATTTTTCTCCTTAGATCTGTAAATGTGGTACATTATATTAATGAACTTCCTGATGCCAAGTCAGCCTTGCACTACTGCAGTAAACCCACTTGCTCACGATGTATTGTTTTCCTCATGTGAAATGGGAGTCTGGATGCAAACATTTTATTGAGCATGTCTGATTCATAAAGGACTAGTTTTATTACACTTGCCTTATCAGACTTCAGTGTAACTGTCAGACTTCTGAAACTAATCAGAAAACTTCCTTCAATCTCCCACTCTGGGGCAGTTTATGGGACATTGATGTCTGATCTTTAAAGATTTGGCAGAATCATGTTTTAAAACCATTCGGCTCTGGTGCGCTTCAGTGGAGGGGTTCCTCAATGACTCTGTGTTTCCTCTGGGGAAATCGCTCTTTTACGGTTTCTATTTCTGGTAACTTGTATTTTTCCAGAAGATATATACTTACCTGTGTCTTCAAATTTACTTGTATTGGGTTTTTTCTCCTACCTTCATTTAATTAGCCCCCTCTGCATCCCCAGGGAGCCCCTCTCTGATGTTTGTCACAAGCCACTTGTGTGACCTACTCTTGGATTTCGCATTCATAGATGCACAGCGATGTACTTTGGGCCTGGTTTCCTTCACTTAACACAATGCTTCTGAGATTCAGCTTTTGCGTGACCAGTAGTGTGTCCCTTCGCTCATGTGTTAGGGCTCCATGTACAATTATTCTGCAATGCACATTCTCCAGTTGCAGACATTTGGGTTATTTTCAGCTTTTGACTGTTACAAGGCCACTCTCATTCCTGTGTCTTTGTGAACTTGCCCATTTCACACGGGTAACCACTCAGAGCGGGACTGCTGGTTGCGTGGTGGATGGATGTTGCTCTGCGGACGCCCCTCACTCACACCAGCATTAGTGCTGCCAGTCCTTCCCACTGTAGCCATCCTAGTGTATGCAAAATGCCATTTTAATACAGTTTTAATTTGCATTTCCCCAATGTCTAATGATGCTGGACACATTTTCATGCATATCCAGGGCATTCTTATATGTCCTTTTGTAAAGTATCTGTTCAAGCCTTTTGAGTGTTTTAAAGAATAGAGTTAGTTGCTCATCTTCTTATTTCATTTTTGGAAAAACTTTTGTCAACAAAGCCCTTATTGAATAATAATCTCATTTTCCCCCATTTTAACTAATTAGTGGCATGTAAAACTGAATAGCAAGATTTGGTATTATCATATGATAACCAGTATTACTATATTAAATTGTGGATACAGTTAAAAGCAAGGGAATATATTTATTCATTCATTCAAAAAAAAAAACCCTGGATACACTACCAACCATTAAATCAATTGGTATGGTAGTAAAATCAACCCCTTTTCCCTTAACATCTGCCCAAAATGTGCCTAGACTGGGCAATATAAGAGAGGTGAACCAGACTTTTGAGAAAGTCATCATCCTCATCTTAAAAAAGTGGCTCCAGGAAATGAAAGAAGGGAAGAAGTCCATTTCATCTCTGATGATCAGGGGCCTTGACACCGAGATGAGGAGAAAAGTTTGTAGGCCGGCTTCTCCTTTGGTGTGGAGACTCACTCTTAAGGGAAGTGGGTCCGCTCCACTAACAAGTGAGAGATTCCAGTCAGATAAAGTTTACCCCGTATGTGCAAGAACGAGTCACCATATGGACCTGTCAGGGTACTGCACCACGTGAATACAGACATTTTATGTGGTTGTTTCAGTAGATGTAGAAGAAGCATTTGATGGAGTTGCACATCTTTTCATGATAATGACTCTTAGGAAACCCACGACAAGGCACAGGAGGTTGTGATGGGGACAGGCACGCGGGTGGGCGGTGGCTCCTTCCCCGGCCCAGGCTCTGGCAGTGTCGTGGCACCATGTGACTTTTACAGTCCCTAAAACAAACCTCTTGATCCTCAGGAAAAGAGGAGCCCAAGTCTCGAGCTGCTGAACCATGACCCAGTTCCCAAGTCGTCTGCCAACCTGGAACCTATTGCAAAATGGTCATAAATGAATTAAAAGTGGGTGTTTGCAGAGGTTATGTACACGGACCACAGAGTTGGTAAAGCTGGTTGAAAACTCAAGCACAAGCAGTGTTTCGTCCGAGCCCCAACCCCGTTTTCTGTTTCTTCCAGACCCTTGATGGCTTTGCACTGGTCGTGAGTGCGGAAGGAATGATATTTTATGCATCAGCCACGATTGTGGACTATTTGGGCTTCCACCAGGTAAGCGGCTGTATGATATGCTGCCCGGTAGGTTCTGCCACCTTGTAAATCTTACTGTCTTGAGGGCTTAGATGTCTTAAAATGAAGCTGCTTTGCCCGCCGAGGATTCCCACACCCCTGCTTTGTCTAGGACTGTGGGCCATGGCGGGAGGTGATGGTGTCCAGGGCTTCCCAGGTCTCGTGGGCAGAGACCTGTGCTGACAGCGGCATGGTGCCCGCCCCTCTCCTTGCCAGCAACATCTGTGGCATAAACCCCAGATATGTGGTGCACTCAGGATATAGTGAGGTCTGGAAATGCCCTTACTGAGCACAGACGTTTCAGTCGGTGCCTCGCCCAGGCCAGCCCAGTCTGTACAATTCCAGATATTGGGCAGAGACCTGGGGTTGAGACCCCCTCAAACTCTGGGATCTTAGAAGGGCAGCTTCTCCAAGAAAACGTGCAATAAAAGTCCCACCCAGGCCCAGGAAACACAAAGGAAACATCTCTGGCCTCTGGATGAAAAAGGAGCCCCTTGTGAGAAATCCTAACCCAGGCATGCCCCCCCTGAGCAGACCCTGAACACGGAATCAAACTGGCTGTAGGCAAAGTAGGTGGCTGCAGACCAGGAGAGCTCAGTGGGACCCCAGGCCGCCCTGCCACAGCACCCCATGAAAACATCCCCTCTGAAGAGGGCTCCCACACAGAATCATGGACACACAAGGGAGCCACAGGCTGTGGTGGAGGTGACCCCCTCCCCAAAGAGCCTAGGACCACAAGCAGGTGGGTTTGAGAAAGGACAAAACAGAGCTTTGGGAAATGAAGAAGGGCACATCTGCTAGGGTTCCATCCAGAGGCAAAACTGGAGGCAAAAAAACTTGTATATGATAAGTATATTATATATAGTGTAAAGTACATAATATACAATACATAATCTGAGGAATTAGTGTAAACATAGTTATAAAGAATTATTAACTTGTAACACAGTGAGAAATAAAAGGGTGCAGACATCACGGGGGGCAGCAAAGCACAGCCGGGCATCCCAGCAAGGACCACATTTTGGAGTCCACCCTGTCCCAGGCCAGGGCTAGGCCGCAGGAAACCGCCCACTGGGGTGCTGGCGACTCAGGGGAAGATGGCCTGTGTGGCCCTCAGACACCAGCATGTGGTGAGGGGTGATGTGCAGAGGGCACTCCATGGGTTGGGCCATCCTGGCAGGTAGGAGGTAGTTCTTCCTCCTCCCGGTGGCCAGCACAGCTGTGAGAGCACATGGCTGCAGACCAGCCTCTGGACTGGTGTTCCCACTGCCGGGGTGCTGCCCAGGGGTTTCTCCCCTTGGCCACTCCTATGGGGCAAGTGCCTCCACCGTTGTCTGCAGGCACTCTCCTGAATGCGAGCTGTGAGGTCTTGTGATGGGACAAGCCACTGGTCCCTAAGAGCCACTCCAGGCCCTCCTCCCTCTGTCCTCTGCTCGGTGCTGGGGTGCCTCTTCATGCAACTTGTTGCCCCATTTGCACGGAAGGGATTGGTGGGCAAGCCGGGACGGGGGGTTCCCTCTGGGGAGCACTCACACTGCACAGAGTGAGGGTGTGGACATGACAGGTTCTGGCCCCCAAGTGGCGGAACCCCCCAACTGCCTCCCCTTGACTGTGTGTGCAGTGTCTGAATCTAGAAAAACACAGTTTGATTTGCCTTTGCCGTGGCAGAATTTCCTTTAGTTCCAGTCACCATCTCCAGAGTTGCCCTGTGGATTCTCCAGATGTGCCCAGAGCTGCCTGCCTTTTGTTGTCATTCAGAGATTTTACCACAGGGCTTGGCTTTAGTGATAAATGCAAGTGCCCTGCAAACAGCTTCAATTCCATGCATAAACTTGCTGACTGGATCTTTGGTTTTCTTGGAGCTTGGTTATTTTCCACCAAACATTAGAGGTAAAAATAGTTTTGCCTTTTATTATAACGAGATTGTTTCCAAATGCCATTCAATCAGGCATTGCCTCTAGTTTATGCAAAATATTTTGAGATAATATTAGAACAGCTTTGTGCTCTTTTGAGCTTCTTGTCCAAAGTGCTCTACAAACCATCAGGAACCAGTTGTTTCCTATCAGAGACTGAGTACATCATTTCAGCCTCTTCACCTTCAGCACACTTTGCGATTAGAAATAAGTTCTAGAGTATATTGCAATGACTGTTGACTTGATTCAGGAAGCCGTTCGCTCTTTCAAAGATCAGTGCTGGGGAAGTGCCCCATTGACCTGGGGTGGACGGTCCGAGCTGTTGGAATCCACGGGCATGGGCAGCAGGTATGTGCAGACTCTGTAGGCAGCAGTGCAGACACCAGGACGGGCAGCTAGAACCAGCAGGCTTCTAGCGCTGTGAGTGAAGGCTGAGCCGCAGTGAAGGCTGGCCTCAGGAGCAGCGTGTTTGCCTTGCTCCACCCAAGTGACTCCCGTATTGCTATCTCCCCACCCTATGTGCCCCCACTCATTTCTCCTGACCTCGCTTTGTTGGGGTAAGTCTCCAGGGGCTTAGGACCAGTGGTCAGTGTGCCACACTGACTGTTACAATACGGAACCGTGCTTCCACTTAAAGGCCTTGTGCTGGAGCGTCCTTATTACGCTCTGCTCCAAGTTCGCCGTCTGACGGGCCGAGCCGCAGACTCACTCCTGGCACATGAACTGCACCTTCCCCTGAATTAGCTGAGGTGTGTGGAGATTCACAGGACATGCAAGGAGCTGCCAGCAGCTCAGTGCCTCCCGGGACCTACACAGCGTGGGGCCACCTACCAACACTCCCGAGAGTTCACTGTCTGCTGTGGGGATCACCATGACCTGGGGCTCGCAGTCAGCACAAAGGTCCATAATCAGCAGAGGGAGACATGCCCTCTGGCCACAGCAGGAGAGAGACGCTGGTTCCCAGTAACAAGGCGATCAAGCGCTGTACAGTTTTCCATGTCAAGACATTACTTAAAGAAATTAAAGAAGATGCAGGTAAATGGTGGTGGGTGTGTCATCGTGAATTGGAGGAATCAATACTATTGTTACAAAGGTGTCGGATAAAGTTACAGAGTTAATGGCATTCCCATGAAAGCTAAGCGGCTTTTCTGGGCAGAAATCGACATGCTAACTGGAAATGCAGAGCGCTAAGCATATCCAAGCCGGTCTGGAGAGGAGGACAGAATGGAGGTCATCCTGGGTCTAGGGTCCCAGAGACGAGGATTCCTATAGAATCAGTAGTGAAAGCGGTGTGAGATCTGTGCAAGTGCAGGCAAACAGACCCATAGGCACACACCACAAGCACACACATCCAAGACCAATAAATACTCAATTTTTGTCCAATTGTATCCGCTCATGACAAATCAAAGCCATGGTCAGAACCACCGCACACCCACACCGTGGCTCAAATGGAAAAGGCGGAGATGCAGGCAACTGCCGGGAAGCGCAGCGGCCGGTCCTCTGAACACGCCGGCCTCACTGGATATCCGCGCCGTGTTGCCTCCCGAGCCGAGCCTCGTGCCCAGCGATCCTGCTACATGTGTGTGCCACGGAGGTGCCCTCAGCTCATCGGGGAGATGCCAGGGCGCCAGCCCTGCCTGACACGGATGGAGCGGCAAACACCGTGCCTCCGTGGGTCACGGCAGGGAGCCGGCAGACAGACGCGCACACAGCGCTCACGGACGTGTGGAACTGGCCCCTGGCGCCAGCCCAGGTGGAGACAGGCTCCCGACCCGCAGTGGGCGTCCTGCCTCCCGGTGTGGAGCTAACAGCGGGTTCACGACAGGCGCTGTTCAGCGAGCGCCGCCCCTGGTCACGGGTTGGCTGGGAAAGCGCCCCTGGGAGGGCAGCACGCTTGGGATCATGCAGCCCCCGGGGCTCGGGCTGGAGGGCGGGCCTGGGGCGCCCCTTCCGCCTTGAGCCGGTCTCTGCCCGTCAGCCCCACGTTCCCGCCTGGAGTCCCCGACCCCGGACGATGCTGATGACCGTGACCTGCACCGCGTCTTCCTGTGGAAACCTGCTGACCGCCTCTCGCCCATTGCAGACGGACGTCCTGCACCAGAACATCTATGACTATATCCACGTGGACGACCGCCATGACTTCCGTCGGCAGCTCCACTGGGCCATGGACCCTCCGCACGCAGCGCTCGGGCGGCCCCTGCGCTCAGAGGCAGGTGGGTCTGCCGCCGCCGGGGAGAGCAGCACGCTCCGCGGAGATGCGCCGGCCCTGGTCCCCTCCGCCTGCAACCTGAACGCGGTGCCCCGCGCCCCCTCCCCAGAGGGCCCCGCCGCGGTCCCCGCACGCCCGCGAGTCGGCGGTTGCCCCGTGCTCGGCCAGGGTGCCGGCTTAGCGCAGCCGGGCCCTCGGGGCAGCCTTCCGGGAAGGCCCTGGGGCCACATTCGGTTTACGGGGCGTGAGGCATCTCCGACAGTGTCCGCCGACCTCAGGCCGCAGGGGTAGCGCGATTCCCTCTCACGCGGGGGACGGAGCCCCGCCGGGAAGCCCCAGCCACCCCACGCGCCACGGCCCCGAGTCCCGCGCGCGGCCGGAGGCGCGGGTTCCAGGGCGGAGGGCGGGCTGCGGGGGGGCCTGCGCTCATCTCGGTCTCTCCCGCCCGGCCGCGCGGTGCCGACGCCTCGGGCAGCAGAGGACGCCGCGCTGGGGAGGCTCCTCCGGGCCCAGGAGGACGGCGCGGGCTCGCCCGCCGAGTACTCGGCCTTCCTGACGCGCTGCTTCGTCTGCCGCGTGCGCTGCTTGCTGGACAGCACCTCGGGCTTCCTGGTGAGTGTGGGTGGGGGGGCACTGGGGGGCTGGGGGGTTGCAGAGTGGGGGCGCGGGGTCTGCAGGGCGGAGGGAAAGCAGGAGGCGCCGAGGGTGCTGCAGGGGAGGGGGTGGCCGGGTTGGGGGCGCTGGGGAGCTGCAGGGCGCGGGGGATGGAGGGAGGCTTCCGGGCGGGTTTCAGATGAGTAGCCGGTCCTGTTTGTGTCTAGCTCTTCCACCACCAAAACTCCTTTGAAAAGCTCTCCCAGTGCCTACACCCAGCAGTGAGCTTGGGGCACCGAAGCCCAGAGGCCTCCTGCCGAGCCCTGGCTTCCCCACTTCTCTTGCAAATAGATGCTGGGGTTTCCACTCCCCATGCTTGACCAGCTCCTCCAGGAAAAGATAGATGGAAGAAGGAGATAATCTCCTGGGAGCTGAACTGGCATGCACCTCAGGCCTCCACACAGACCCAGAGCCTCACCTGCTGCCCCCGACCCAGCCCATCCCCCCCGACTCTCCCAAGAGCCCCCGGCTAGTCCTTGAGGCAACATTACAACACCAGGACCTCTGACCCTGGGGCCCCTGGGCCTGTCGCTGCTGGGCAGGCTGCCAGGGAGCTTCTCCCACTCCCAGGACCTCTGCACACCGGTCCCCAGCCCCACTGGGGATCAGTGTCCCCCACCTTGACTTTGGAGACCTGTGGGGGTCATCCTGGAGTTTAGTTTTAGGCCAGAGTTGGCGACTTCCCTCAGGGCTCCCGGGTGTTAGGTAGATGTCTCCTGATGGCTCTGAAGAGGGGGCCCTTCAGAAGCCCCTACAGACCAGGCTGAGCCCAGGATTGGTCCAGCCACCCCTGCTGGTCTCAGTGTCCTGCTCCTGGGGGGCCCCACCACATTTCGTGGTGCACGAGGGCCTTTCCAGGTCACAGGCCTGAGGGGCTCCACGGCTCCTCCAGCCACCCCAAGCCCCAGCCCACTTTCGGGAGATGCACACCCAGATGGCTCCTAGAGTCGTCCGTGGGTCCTGCTGAGGAGCAAAGCCCCTTAGAACATGCGGCCAGCATCCCCTTGCCGGGTGTGGGCAGAGGGCTGTAGTTTCTACTGCCTTTCCTGTTGGTTAGTTTTCGTTTTGTATGAACTTTTTAAAAATGTAAACATTGCTTGTACATAGTACAAATCCAGTTACTTCACAAGAGCAGAGAATGAAGACCAGAATGAACACCCTTTGCAGGTCCCCAGCCCCCTTCCCGGAGGTCACCGCTCTGACCCCATGTACCTCCTGAAGGGGCCCCCGGCCTCCTGCTCTCCACTGACCTGTGTGAGGGAGCTGAGCTTGGGGGCCCTCCTCAGGACTCAGGGTCGTCCCCCATTTCTGTGTGTGCTCTGGGCCCTGAGCTTCACCTGCTGACCCCTCTCCAAACCCAGGTCCCCACTCGGGATGCTCCACCTCCAGAGGACCTGTCACCTGCCTCAGGCCCCCAAAACTGCCGAGCTGCTTTCTTGCAGAGTGGGGGCAGCTTACCGAGTGGCTCCAGGCTGCCCCACAGCCTTTAAGGCAGTAGTCTGGCTTCATCCATCAACAGTGAAGTGGTAGCTTCACGCTCCCTGAATTCATTCCCCTGATCCCAAGGGACAGTGATGAGGGTCCCTGGTGGCTGACAGCGAGGACCCAAGCCTAGCTCAGCCCCACAGCAGAGGCTCCTCCTGTGTGTCTGTTTCTGCAGGATTTTCACCTGACCTGGACCCTTCCTAAGGAAAGCACATGGGTCCTGGATCTTCTGCTACCACACATACCACTAACTGCTCACCTTTCCTTAGGCAATTATTGACCATAAATTCTTTTATTTTGATAACACTTTGATCTACATTTGGTGGAAACTATGATAGTTACTATTTATTGGCTGATAATGTTTTTCATTTTTTTAAATTGGGCAACCAATTCTTGGTAAGTTGGAATCTCTTATTTCCAGAAGAACTAAAATTGGAGGGATCTTACTTCAGTCAAGCAGAGGTTGAAATGTAGGTTGAATTGAAGCTATAAAACAAAGCAGCAAATAAGCAAGTAGTTTGTAAGTGTGTGATTACACATCACAGTTGAATTCAGCGCTGCAGCCCTGGAAAGGCCCAGGCCCCCCAGCACAGGAGCTGAGTGCAGGCCCCATGTGACCTGCAGGCTCTTTCCGGCCCCACCGTGACTGCAGACCCTTTCCCTGGGTCTGGGCAGCACTGTGCTACTGGCCAGGAGAGCCCATGGGTAGAATATCAGGAATCTGGAGAGCTGGTTGACATTAGGCTGGTAGACTGAGATCAGCTACAGTGGAAATAGCAAAGACATTGGCTAACACTACAAACCAGGGCTTTTGTCTGGAGAGCTGGATGTTAACATCCCAGCACAACAGTACTTTGAATCTTCCACATCAATGAGACTGGCATCAGCGAGTGCTTTACAAGTGTTTGCTCACAAAATAAACCCATATACAAACAGGGAGACAGAGAGGTCAATGGGTGAGTGGTTGGAAGGAGGGATGGATAGAAGGATGGGAGGGTGATGGGTGGTTGGAGGAATGGAAGGTGGGAGGATGGACGGATGGACGGTGGATGATGGATGGGTAGGTAATGGATGACGGATGAAGGAATAGAAGAATGGACGGATGGGAAGGTGATGGTTGGGGAGGTGATGGATGATGGAAGGACAGATGTTGGAAAGACGGACAGAGTGGGGCCACATTGTTCTTCCATCAAGGGAAGGAGGACCCTCAAAAGTGTTTGGTAACCAAGTCAATTATAGATTAGCTGTTGCATTATAGCGAGATCTTTTATGTTTTTATCACAAACCCCTAGATATTTGTTGTTTTTAACTCACGTTATAAAGTCTAGATAAACAAAATCCAATTGTCACTAAGTTTATCATCATGAATAAAGGACTAATAATTTGGAAATGGAGGGTTACAGCTAGAATGGTCCTTGGGGACTTTTGCTCCAGCAAATCCTACTCAGGAATTAACTGGTGGCTCATGGGTCAGCCCAACTCAGTGCGCCTTCCCTACCAGCATGGGGAAGTCGGCTCACACATCCACACGCCCCAGAATGCATGCGCAGGAGCATGCTTGTCAGGGCGTTCAAGAGAATCCAGGAAACCCGAGTCATTCTGAAGGCCCCTGAGACACTGAGCATGTAGGGACTGCTGACTCACATCTCCTTAGTGACTCTGAATAGATGTTTCTCCAAGTTTCCATCCCAAGAATGTGTTCTGAGCCCTTGATGGTGCCCTTATTCACTCTGCAAATAGGCCTTTGTTTCTGTCTCTGAATTGCCAGACGATGCAGTTTCAAGGAAAACTGAAATTCCTGTTTGGACAGAAGAGGAAAGCTCCCTCAGGGACGGCTCTGCCCCCTCGGCTCTCGTTGTTCTGCACTGCGGCACCTGCCCTCCTTCCCTCCGCTGCCGAGATGAAAGTGAAGAGCACATTCTTGAGGCTGAAGCACGGGGCGGACATCTCAGCCCTGACAGATGCAAGGTAAGAGTCAGGGTTGAGACAAGTGCTTTGGAACTGGTATTTTCTGTCTGTTCTTTCTTCATTTCCAGCAAGCAATAAAATGAGAGCTTTTTGTTTTTAAAGCTAGTACAGTGTGTAGGAAACTACTCTTAGAAAAATGATGCACTTTCAAACTAAAGTTTGTGACCTGTGACAGGCTGCATGCTGCCTTCATCACCGAGTCCCTGAACCCAGTTGCAGCTCAGGAGAGACACCCAAGCCTGTGTTTGCCATGGGGTGGAAGGTCAGGGCCAGCAGCCTCCTCTACTTCTCTGGGCCACCCCCCCTCTGTACACAGTGGTGCCCAAATGCCAGAGGTGATGTCCAGGAGGTAGAGATATGGTACCACTGCCTTCCAGGAACAAAAAAATCAGCCTTTCAGGAGCAAAAAACACATTATATGAATTTTTATAGGCAGCTCACATCTGTAATTTCTTGGAATGGGTTAGATGCAGGATGTCAAAAGGTCCCTGTGTACCCAGGCTATTTCTCTGTCCTTTGTGATGGTCCCCACAGTGGGGTCGAGTGGAGCCAGCAGCTGCAGAGGAGCCCACCGGCCCTGCCTCAGCTCACCCCCTAAGTGCTGCGTCAGCTGAGAGCTGCTGGGCTTGGAATAGCCACTCGAGTTGGGCTGAGTGCTGGGCCGACCAAGCATGGAGCCAGCTGCCAGGCCCCTGGCACTGGCCAGGAGAGCCACTCTGCACTGGCTTCGTGTGGGGCCAGCAGTCTGGTGCTGGGACTCCTGGGCTCACAGCCTGCCCAGGACACTCTCAGGCCTGACACCCTCAGGAAGACCCTGGCCCCACACCTGGCTCCCACTTACAGGGAGAGCCGGCAGCTGCCCTTTTAGGAGGTGGGCATGCAGCCCACTCCCAGGAATCCCTGTTCACCCATCCACAACCCTGGGAGGGGGTGAGCCCCAGGGCTTCCTCGCAAGCCCCCGTGCCCCTGTATGTCCCCACTGGGGTGTGAGTGTTCACTCCTGGTCAGCAACCACAATTCATCTTTGGCTTCCTCGGGCAACTGTCTGGCCAGGTAGGAAGCTGAGGTTGCACGGGGGGTGCCTTTCTGCTCCCTGTTCCTTGGGTCACCTCTTGTTTTTGCAACTCGGATGTGGTTGGCTTCAGGTCTGCAACTGGAGCCTCTGCCTCCATGGCAGAAGCTGGTCGGGGTGCATGGATGGAGGGTGGCTGAGCTGCCCCTCTGGGCACCCTGACACGTGCCAGAGTGCTGAAACTGCAGCTTTCAGAGTGTATTACATATACATACTTCCTTAATTTTAGGGATACAAAATGTCATGAGGGAGGGAAAACAGAATCCACGGAAAACCGTGAAGTGAGTTACAAAGCAGAACCTTGCGAGTGAGCCAGGTGCAGAGGCCACTGCCAGGCTGCCGTGTGCATGGGGCCCAGGGCGGAGGCCTGACACTCGTGTTCTGTGCATTGCTCTGCTTTCATTTACCGTCTCAGAGGTTTCTATTTTTAAGGCTTGCTTATCTTGACTGAAGCTCACAAGGAGCTTTCTCTTTTCCACATGTGTCTCCAGTCCTAAAAACAAGAAGGGAAATCCTACCTCTCCACTTCCCTTAGAGGTCAGGGTGCAGGCTGGGCTCCCAAGCCCCCCAGGTGCAAACACAGGGAGGTGCAGGCTGGCTGCACACATGCTGTGAGCTCTGTGGGCGGCAGGCCTGGATGGCAGGGGTGGCACCTCCATGGGCCAGATGCCTAGACTGACCTCAGAGGCATGTGAGGATTTGTACATTAAGCTTCACATAAGGCCACTGAGATCAGTCCATATGCTGTATGAACACTTACCTCGGGAGTGCAGAGCTGGGGCAGCGCAGAGAAGGGTGATTCCAACCTGTCTTAGGAAAGGCGCTCCCTGGAGTCCTCAGAGCTCTGAATTCCCACCTGCCCTGACCTGAATGCCTGCCTAGCTTTCAGCCCCAGCACCACAGCCGCCTCCCTCTGGGCTCAGAAACCCGTCTGGGGTCTGTCCACATCAGAGCTCTGGCGAGGCCCTGCACTCACGGGCTGTCTTCCCGGGCCCTGCGTGGCCTTCCCGCAGGAATGCGCTTGAAATCCTCCCACCGCTGTGGCCTGTTTATACTTGGATCAGTGCCTGGGCTCTGAGTCACTCCTGGGAGGTACAGAGGGCAAAAATGTGAGCTGCCCACCTGCACCATCCCAGCTGAGCAGGACCTGCCTCCTGTCTCTCCTCTGATCCCTGCTCCGCCCTCTCCTCTCTTCCCCGCCTCCCTCTCCTTTCATCCAGAAAAACCAAAGGCACTGGGAGTCATCCTGTGTGGACTAGGTCTACTTTCTGGAGCAAATTTGTCAGCCCTTCATTGACTTGAAAAGTGACGTGCATTGAAATTGCCAGCAAGCCTGAGGAAAGACTACACTGGGTCACACTTCAAAGGTGTTAGTGGCCGTGTCTGCCCCCTCAGGCATGACAGTGGCCCTGCCGTGCTGTGTCTGCCTCAGCACACATGTGACCCCCTGTTTGTTATCTGTTCTTTGCAGAGCAAAAGCCCAAAGTCAGTGTGAGCCAGAATCGCATGTGAAGCCCAACCACTCAGCAGGTACTTTAACATTTACCTTCTCAACTCCTAAGTGGGTAAAATGCATGTATCGCTCTGCAGGCTCTCCCTGTCCCTGGACCTGTGGCTGATTCCACACGTGCTATTCTGGAGGGCCTTGGTGTCTGGGCCCAGAGCCCAGGTCGTCGTCTCCCTGTGGGATGCCGTGGGTCTGGGTGCTCAGGTCCCCAGTGATGGCTCTACCCTCCTCTAAATCCCCGCAGGAAGGAACAGTGCAGAAAACGGCCTGTCAGTGTTCAGGGCACAGACGGATGGTGACCGCTGGGCCCAGCTTCCTGCCAGAGCCACGTGCCCTTGCCTCAAGGGCGGCCCCGACAGTGTCCTGGACCCCAGGGTGGCCTCAGGGTAAGTGCTGCCCTGCCCAGCTGGGTGCCTCACTAACTCACAGCTGGGCCGGAGGAAGGAAGAGCTGGTGGCCGGCCTGGCAGCCTCAAGCAGGAGAGCCAGGCCTTGCTGCTGCAGAACCATGTAGATCCACACACATGCCCAACATGCTTCTCCCTGGGGAAGCGGTCATTACACTGCTGGGGCCCGGGGGGGCAGTAGGGACTTCCGCCCTGAGTGCCAGGTCCCACAGTCCCCTGCTCACACTACCCCTCACCACCTCACTGTAGCCAGGACACAGGTGTCTGCCCAACCTCTCCCTTTACTCAGAAACTGTCTGCACCTCTCCTCCACAGCCCACTTACAGATGCCCCTGCCTGCTGTCCCACCCCATGTCTGCCCAGGGTCTCCTCTTGGAGGACTGGTCTGGCTGCCTGGCCTCAGGGCACCAGCCCCCGTCCCTGCACGTGCCAGCCCTGGTGCCGTGCAGTGCCGGGAGGGCCTTGGTGGCACTACCAGGGACTGTATCTGTCTGCTCCACAGTCTGAGGGGCCCTTTGCACCAGACCCCCACCCCTTCCAGTGTCTGTAGCAGTGGGTTTGTGTGACCCTGGTCCTGTGGTGTGTACCCCAGCGACACCTGGAGGAGCCAGTGGGTGGCACACACTGCTTCTTGCACCTACCCCATCCCTGGGCCCTCAGAGCCTCACCTGGCCATCCGAGAGACCGTGGGAGGGTCAAGACAGAAGAGAAGGTGCTGGGCTGGCACCACAGGGTGCCAGGGGGTAAAAGCCTTAGTGTACCATGGGCTGGCCCATGGCAGCCCTACAGCTTAGTCAGTACCACTTTAACTTGGTGCCTCTGCAGACCCCTCCATGCTCTGGTGACAGCCATCTCCCCTCTGCAGGGGCGGGACACGAGAGGGGCGCGGGAGGGCGCCCGGAGGCTCCAGCACAGTGAGGCGGCGCAGGGAGGGTCACGCCTATGATTGCCACTTGGAGGCAGCAGGACCAGCTCAGCAGCTGCACCGGATGACTGGGGCGCTAGGGCAGGAGGGTGGCACCAGGCTGAAGCTGGAGCCCAGCACGGGGGGTCCACTCCCTGGGCAAGCAGGCGCCCAGGGCATCGTCCACACCGACAGCTTCACTGCTTCAGGTAGCTCACTTGTCTCTCACCCATCAAACCGTCTCCCCAGTGCATACACTGGCCGGCCGGGCAGAACCCTGCGGGACGGAGGCCAAGCTCATGGGCTGTCTCCCGCCAGCTTCCCCCTTCCCCAGAGGAGCCTGGAGAACGGGCTCCCTCCTCCTCGAGGACAGCGGCTTGCGGTGGGGGGCTACTGTACCCAGGACACCAAGTTTGGAGGCGGGCCGGTGCCCCCCGGAAGTCTGTTCAGCCCCACTCTGTCGCTTGATGTGCCTATCAAGATGGAGAGTGACTCTGGATCTGATGATGCAGCAGACAACTACTCTGTGTCCCCAAGCCAGGTGTGGCTGGGGGCCACTGATGTGGCCAAGAGACAGCTGGTTACTTTCCCTACCAGGATGCACCTCAAAACAGAGCTGGGCCACAGACACCAACTCTGTGCCCCGCACCTGGGGCACAGTATGCTGGGGGCAAACCCCAGACCTGGCTGTAATCTGGCTCTGTTCCACCCTGCACGCTGTGCCTGCCTGGAACATGTGCACTGTGTTCCTGAGCCAGAGCCGCCCCCCAACTTCTGTGCACAGGGCCACCAGCCCCCAACTCTGGGCCGCAACTGCAGAGCCCCTGGGACCCTGCCTGTTGTCAAGCGGGAGCCCCTGGACTCACCCCCATGGGCCACTCACAGCCAGGATGGGGTGCCCGGGACATTCCCCAAAAGTGCCTTGGCGACACTGATGCTGCCTAAAGCTCCCGAGGGCACATTCCTGCTGTAAAGCAGAGCTTCTCCCAGAACTGCTCCTGCCCACGCTGATTTGCCCCTCGGCCAGGGGTGGCATGGAATCAGAGCTTCTCCTGGTGGCCCCCTCAGAGCTACAGGAGTTCAGTCCTCGGTTGTGTGGGCAGGTATGCAATGGTGAGTTCCGCACTTCATAAAACACCACAGAAATTCTTAAATGCAAAGTGCTCTTAAGTCAGTTCGAATATCACCATGTTTCCCTTGGAGGAATCAGAACTTCTCAGAAAGCAGCCACAGTGGGACCTGTTGGCTCGGTGGGCATACACACTCTGAGGCATCTGCAACAGCCCCCGGCAGCTGGCAGGCCACCCCCCAGTCCCCCAGGGCTGTGCAGAGCAGCGACCCAGGTGGAAATTTGGGATATAACGTGCTGAGCCACAGTGAGCACGCTCTCACTCATGGACAGCGTCTGGGAAGTTCCAGGCACCGTGGCAGCCGCAGGCACTCTGTGACCCCCCAGAGTGGACACCCAACAGGACAATGCCCCTACTGGCAGCCTCTGCGGCCTCCAGTAGGCATCTGAGGATGGTCTGTGCTCATCTGTCTGTCGGCCCATGTCCCCAGGAGCTGACGGAGTCTGGGTTTGCAAGTGTAGAGAAAAGAAATAGCAAGTTGAGTTGACTGTGGAGGCCATTCTGCAAACTGTCTAGTTTTTCAAATGAGGATTCCAGTCATCATCCCAGGAAGAATTATAGGACAAGTAAAAATTTTTTTAAGGTAGTACATTTTGATCATAGGAAATTTAGATACAAAAGCATAAAGCAGAACATGAAGGTCACCCATAGCCCCAGCCAGAGGTGGTGACCTCTCACATGGGATAGACACCAGGGTATAGAAATCCCCACCAAGCAGAAGCTGCAGCAGGAGGGCCTCCAGGTCAGGGTCCCTCCGCAGCTGCCCACCTGTGCTGGGGTGGACAGACCCCTCCTCCTCAGGGACAGGGGCATCTGTCTTTGAAGTCACCTCCATTGGAAGTCTCCAGAGATGGCATGAGCCCCTGGGAAATGACTGGCTGCTCCACCATCTGGTACGTTCTGCTCCTCAGCTAGGGTCCCTCCATCATCTGTGGCTTGGAGTGTGTGTCCTCAGCTAATGATGAGGCCAGTTGGAACGTGCCTGTTCACCTCATCACAGCTCAGCACTCGCTGAAAGGACTGGGTCTTCTGGACACTGGACTTAGGCACAGCCCAGGGTGCCCATGCTCCTCGGTTGCCTCTCATGGGAGGGTGTCCCCTTAGGGTATGGCAGTGGCTGAAGGTCTCCTCCCAGCACTGTCAAAGGGTCACCTGCCAGAGCCCAGGGTCGGAGCAGTCAGTCCATGGCTTCCTGGGACCTCCCCAACAGGGCCCACCCAGCAGCTTCTCCATCTCTGCTCAGCCCACTGGGCCTTGCAGAAGGTGACATCATCAGGACTGTCCTGTCCTCACCACGACTGCCAGTCTCCCCTCCCTTGTTATGAGGCAGCACAACCCCCAACTACCTGCTCCCATGGGCCCCCAGAACTGTCCCCTCCCCACCCAGTTCTGTGCCAAGCACAGCACACCTCTGCTTTCTGTACACCTATGGACTCAACCCCTAAGATGTGGAGTGTATTTCAGAATCCCTGTCCTTCCTTCCTGTGCAAACCACATGCCCAGCCCTCATCGTGGAAAGCCCCTACACCATTTTTCACATGCAGTACCCCCCAGGGTCAGAGGGGACACTAGGTTCTGTCCTCACTTCATGCACCTGAGAGCCATGCACCTGACCCAACTGGGAGCATGTATCATGTAACCGGGAAAACAAGGGATGGAAGAGACGCCCCTCGGTGACATCAGTGCATGTGTGCACACCGTAGCAAATCCCCACATGACCAGAGCTACAGGCTGATGCCACACGGAGAGCCTCTCCAAACACATGGCTGTTCCTGCCACAGGGCCCTGGTGTCCAGGCAGTCATCCACTCTCCCAGATGGCACAACCAAACTGGCCACAGACGGCGGGCTTATTGATGTGGACGGGTCCTGCCTTATTGATGTGTAATTCAGCGCCCAGGCATGGGCTCACAGGCTTGTGCACACTTGTGCCCAGGCCCTTCCTCTGTGGGTGGGCGCTACCCCCAGAGTCAGCACCGCTGCTGTCCAACAGCCATGCCCTCCTAAGAAGTGTGTGGGGACGGTGGTGGGATGTAGGGGGTGCAGAGGGGCCATTTCTGCTTCAAGATGTCATCAGTGCTAATTACAGGCTCATGTTGGCTGGAAGCTTTTGCCTATATAGCTGAACAAGTATTAAAGTCAAATATAATGTGGGAGGGAGATGGATGGAAGGAAGCAGATAAACACATTATATTTTACATTTTTATAGTTTCTACTGGAAGAAAAAGTTTTCAGTATCTAGACTGACTTGTTGAATTTTTAAAAGTGAATACACTATAATGAAACCTTTTATACTGTTTCCTCAGTGCCTTTAAAGATCTTTCAAATATACTTCTGATACTCTTGTATTATTGATGTAAAATAAATCACGTTTACCATAAAAACATCTGCTTGATTTTCCAAATGAAGTCACTTTATTTCATGTTGTGAGGTGGCACTTCCTGGATAGAGTGCAGCTGCAAACGTAAGAAACCACCTGCCGCCGCTGCCAGAGGTTGCCGAGGAGGCCGACTGACTGCCTGAGGCCCTCTCATCCTGAGGGCTGAGGCCTCCCAGGTGCTGTCAGGACACCCGGGCCCCACGTGCCTGCAGAAGGCAGACGCCTGGCCTCCGTGCGTGCGTGCGTGCGCCGTCACATGGGCCCCTTGGCCTCCACGCATGTGTGTGTGCGTGTGTGTGTGTGTGCATGCGTGCGTGCACCGTCACAAGGGCCCCTTTGGGCCAGTCCCTCCCAGCCCAGGACCTAGTGACAGGTGTGTGAGAAGGGACAAGGCTCATCAGGGCTCAGGCAGAGCCTTCCCAAGTCCAGGGAGTAGTAATTTTGTTTTCTTTGGCCAAAAAGCACCCTGAAATGGACAAGCCTCAGACACTGTACAGTGCATGGCCAGGCCTCCTCTGTGTGCCCTGCCAGTCACCACTCCAGTTCCTGTTCTAAGACTCCTGTGTCCTTCCCAGGGGAGGCCAGGCTGCCTGCCCCCCACTCCAGCTGCTCCCTGTCTCTTGTGGCCACCTGCCAGCTTGTGGTCCCCACAACTTCCCTGTGTCCTCCAAACTCTACACTTGTCTTTGCTGAGACGTTCTGGTGGACGTGAACATCCCCACTGCAGTGGGGCTCCAGCACCACTCACCCCGCTTCTGCTGCTGGACAGGAGTGAGTCTGGACTCCTCTACACATGCAGCAGCTGCACACCCCTGGGCCGGTGCAGGCCTGAGGAAATGCCCGGCATGCTGGCAGTGCTCACAAATTCGCTAGGTGCTGCCTCCAGGCCTGTTTCAGGCTGCAGTGACAATAGCAACCAGGTGGCATTCGGCAGCAGACAGTGTCTCCCAGTAGTTCTGGAGGCTGCAAGTGCCCTGTCAGAGAGCCAGCAGGGACCTCTATGGGGTCACCTCCTTATGGACACTGATCCCATTGTCATGGCCTAGTCCCCTCCTAAAGGCCCACCTGACACCACCAGGGTTGGATTCAACATATGAAGTCTGGGGACACACATCCCAGCACCCACAGGACCTCAGGCCCCCAGCCTCGGTGGTGCAATTGGGTGATATGCCCCCCGGATTTGGTGTCAGATGAGGGGCCTGGCAGTTGGTTTGCGTGTATCTCCAGTCCTTCCTCAGCAGTAGTCAAGCCCCCTGCTGAATACAGGCCCTGTGACAGCACTGGGACTGGGACACAGTAGGGAGGAGGGGTGACACCCCTGGTCCATGGGGTAGGGTGCAGACAAGCATCCAGGCAAGTCCTGCAGGTCAGGAAAGAGACAGGTGCAGCACAAGCAGACTGGGGTCCAAGACTGTGCGGGGAGGTGGCCTGTGGAGCCAAGAACTGGAGCCCTGCTGCAGGTGCAGGAACAGCAGTGTGTGAGGTGTAAGAGAAGGGCTGGGGAGGAGGGGACAGGGTCCCGTAGGCACTGCAGGTCACAGGAGGGTCTGAGGAGGGGACAGAGGAGCCCCCCAGCCTCACCCTTTCTGGCTAATTTGCCAGCTTCTCTTTATACTCTGAGGGCAGTGCTCCATCAGTAACAGATTTTCTGTCTGTGGCTTGTTTTTTCATTTAAAGATTTTTCAAAAAATGATGCTGGAGTAAAAAGCTTAGCATGGCAAACTCTTTGTGTCTGATGCATTTAGCATCTCAAAAAAATAACTGACGGTGCCTTTGAAACAGCCCGTTCGGTGTAGTTCTGCCCAGGTTTTCCCGCCGGCCAAGTCGTATGCAAACCGCTTGCACGCCGATGCACTCTGTTCATATGTTCTGCTTTTGTCATTCTTTCGGGGACTGAGTTCATTTTTGACTCGAGCGTCAGCCGACAGCGCACTAAGGAGCTGCCACTTAACGCGGTGGGCGTTGGTCAGCCAGGTGTGGCGCAGCCCACCTTGCTCGTGTTCACTTAACATCTGCCACCTGCCAATCAGTGGTCTGGGGAGCTCTGGGGCCCCGCGAAGGGAAAAGGCCCCGCCGCATCTGGGTAAGAGGTACACACAGGTGCGCGCATCGCGTCCGCAGAGACGCGGGTGAAGGCACAGCGCGAGGTCGGGGAGGCTCCGGGGAGGACACCGGGGTAGGGCAGGCACTTGGTTCCTGCGGGGGGTCCCTGACGGAAAATTGCGGGAAGGGCGGGAGAAGACGCGCTGTGGGCGGCAGGACGCCCCGCACCCTAGTAGCCACCGGCCGGAGGGCGCGCAGGCGGGCAGGGAGCGGATTGGGCACTCCCACGCGCTAGGCCACGCCCTTCCTGTCCCGCCGCCGGAAGCGGAAGTGCCCTGTCCTCCCATTTCCGGTCGGTCGCAGCGCGGCGGACGGTGAGTGGACTGCAGGCCGGCGGGGACTCCAGCCCCGACCGCCGAGCGCACCGGGTGGACGGGCGGCGGGGACGCCGAGGTCGCTGCACCGCGAACCCGGAGAACCCACGCACGCGGGGACCGCAGGCGCCACGGGAACGCTGCGGGCGCTGCCCTGGGGTGGGGTTTTCGGCCGGTTGCCTCCGCAGCTGGCATTTTTCTGTCCGGTGCGGATTGCTGCGTTGGTGCGCATAATAAAAATAAACCGAGAAGGGAAGCGCGTGCTTGTAGTATGTGTCCCTGTGAAAGACAAGTGAGAAAGCGTGTTCCGGAGACACAGTTGTTTAACCAGAGCCCTTAGTGAAAATCCTCTATGGGTTTGAGTGTTTTCTGAAAGCAGGTGGGAGTGGGAATGAAGAATTTTGGGGAAGGGTGGATCTTTTTTATCTTTGAGAAGTTGCATACAGAAAAAATGAGTGGAGGTGGGAGTGAAACATATGAGGTCAAGGGGATAAAGGCGTGTGAAATGCTCTCATTTGCCAGACAGTCACCAAATACCTTTTAGCCCCCCTCCCCCTGGGCTATTGGGAGAGCTAGGGCTGAAAGCAGGTTTGTTTGCTGTCTGAGCACCTGTGCACTGTACCTGTGCTTTCTGCCCTGTCACCTTTATTTGTGGGAGCTGTGAACTAATAGGAAATAGAGTTTTGGATACTGCAGGCACTGGTCTTTTTCAAGGGGCTCAGGACATGTGCTGGGCATGCAGCTCTGGTGGTGAGGTGTGTACTGTCCCTGTGCTGCTGTGTCCTCTTTGAGGCCTCCTGGCACAGCTGCCCCACGGCGGGCCCGGTGGGTGATGTGAGGGCTCAGGAAATGAGAAACTGCCCCTGTCTGGGACAGAAGGGCCTTGGGCTGACACGTGATGTGAGCGGTCTGGGGCCCACAGAGACACCACCACTGCCCTCCTCCTGCCTGTAGCCTGTAAATGCCCCTGCCCCACACGTTTGCAAAGCTCTCCCATATTTGAGTTCTGAGGATTTGCATTTTTTACAGAGGGATTCGTAATCCTAGTTCACTGATTAATGACCTCAAGTGAACTCCTCTTAGCTCCTTTGTGAGCAACTGACTTTGATGGGGGCGAGTTTTGTCCTTGAGGTTCCTACCTACCTGATGCATCTTCCCTCCCACCTCCTCCCCAAGCACCAGCACACCTCTAGCATGACAGATGCAGAACCCCTGCCTGCTTTCTGACCATGAAGGAGACGGACCGGGAGGCTGTTGCGACAGCAGTCCAGAGGGTTGCTGGCATGCTTCAACGGCCAGACCAGCTGGACAAGGTGGAGCAATATCGCAGAAGAGAGGCCCGGAAAAAGGCCTCCGTGGAGGCCAGGTTGAAGGTACGAGATCAGGGAGGCCAGGACACCTGTTTTCACTCCCAGGCAGGACAGAGCATGTATCTTGAGTTCCAGGTTCCCGCTTACTGTAATTTTACCAAATTAGAAATTAGACTTCGTGATGATCTGGATAGAGGTGTAACATGACCTTTATTTAGCACATTCTTTCCAACAATTTATTACCAATCAATGAGATTTACAAAGTAGATTGCAGAATATTGCAAACACTGAAGGAACCACCTTTTTAAGCATTGGGGAGTAGCCTTTTACCTTTACAAACAGCTACTCTTCTTTATTAAAACCTCTTCTGTGGAATGCCACCAGAGAGCATTTCGTTTAGGTTATTCCAGAATGTGCCGGAGCACACTGACTGGGTGCCAGGCATTCTGCTGGCCCTGGGTAGGAAGAAAGAGGACACACTTACTACGAGTGTGTGACAGTGAGACAAAAAAGGAAATAATTCACTCTTAAGGATTTGAGGATTCAGATTGGCTTTCAGCGTAATTCATTTGAAGAAGGAGGGTTTAGTAAAACACACACATTTAGCATAGTTATGTAGTAGTACTAACACCATCAGTAGTTATGAAAAGGTTGTGACCATGGCTTGCTGTGGTTGACAGGCAGCAGCGCAGTCCTGGAGATTTGAGAGGATGCCTTTGGGGAAGTGAACCCTCTCGCTGATGTGACGCTGAGGGCACTTATCACTTGGTGACACTGTTAGCACCCAGAAAATGGCAGACTGGATGAGGCAGGGTGAAGGTCATTCATTTGTGCAGAGAAGCACCCAGAGACCTGATGGGCTAATGCTACATTTTTTATCAGAATTTTGATGTTTTAGAAGCTTTTGGAATTAGCAGTTTCATTAGTTACTTAGAAACCTTGTGTGGTCTGCTGCAGTCGTCATTTGTTACTTGTAGACGCATCTTAAGGCTCCTGGGTGAAAAGGTGCCCCTGGCTTCAGTGGGGCTGCCTGGCCTTGCCCTTCCCTTCCCCATCTCCACCTCTGCTCCTCTCCACGCCCTCTCCCCCTGCCGCACAGCTTGCCAGAGCACATTCCAGTGGGCGTGCAGCGAGTCTGCCTCTCAGAGGGACCGGTTCTGTGCAGTGGGCTTGCCATCCTAGTGCCGTGCCTGGTTCTTCCTGAGTGTCAGGATCCCCCCAAAGCTGATGAGCCAGTCCTGACAGTGTTCTGCACTTTGATAAGGCCTGCAAGGAAGCCAAGGGACGCTGGAAGATGGTACGTGCTGTCTCTCTCGGTACCGCTGAAGCAGCAGCCATGGGGCTGAGGTGTGCCCACAGTGGTGTCTGGTGTCTTCAGGCTGAGAGGCTGGCTGAGGAGTGTTGTGAGGTTTTCACAGCGATGCTTTAAAAAGCATTGTTGATCTGTTTTGAGGCAGCAATTGAACGAAAAGAAAGAGTTGCTTGTAGATAAGCTAACTCCTTGTTGAATTTTATTCTCTCCCCTCTGGGTGTTGACTTCTCCCTGATACTGAAATGTCTCTTTCCTGCACGTGAGCCTGGGGGCAATCTGCTCTTGGCGTCCCTCGCTCTGCTCACCTGCCGGTGTCGCCCCTAGGCCGCAATCCAGTCGCAGTTGGACGGGGTGCGCACCGGCCTGAGCCAGCTCCATAACGCCCTGAACGACGTTAAGGACATCCGGCGGTCTCTGGGCGACGTCAGCAAAGACTGGAGGCAGAGCATCAACACCATCGAGAGCCTCAAGGACGTGAAGGACGCCGTCGTGCGGCACAGCCAGCTCGCTGCAGCTGTGGAGAACCTCAAGAACATCTTCTCAGGTAGCCAGGTGGATGGCCGGGGATGCGGTGCGCTGCTGAGCTCGTCCGCAGGATGCACGTGTCGTGCTCTGTGGGTGGGGCTTCCGCTTGGTGTGTTCTGGGGGCTGGCCTCGGTGGGCAGTGGCTAGGATTCCTGCCCACGTGAGCTGCTTACCTGGACTGTGGATGGCAGGGATGAGTTGAGCAAGTGAAGGCTGGTAGACCCCCGGCAACTCTATTTGTCAGGACCAGGATGGAGGCACCGAAAGAGGTGCCTGAGTGTCCCCTCAGCTGCAGTCTGGCTGTCAGAGGAGCAGACCAGCTGGGACTCTGCAGGAAGAGAAGATGCCACATGCGTGGAAGGGGTCTGGACTGTGATCTGGCAGAGAGGCCGCTTCCCCATGGGAGGGGTGCCTAAGGAGAACAGCATTCCCAGGAGGAGGAGAATGGGCGCGGCCTGGGTGGGAGGCTCACCCCGTAGTCTGTTGTGTGAGCAGGGCCTGGTGGTTTGGGGCCTGAGAGCATGGCCGTGGCTCTCCTGGAGCCACATCCCAGCACCTGGCTTCTGGGAGGAAGTGTCGGGGAGCATGCCAGTGCCACCCAGCAGGGCTCCTGTGGTGTGCAGCATGGCCTCCCCACCTGCTGTGATGGCAGCTCCTCTGCCCCCAAAGCCTGCACCTCTCCTGTCCCCTTGCCTCTGGCGGGATCACCAACAACCCAGTGTGAGGCCTCAGAACGGTCTGACCCCACCCCTCCCTGTGTGCCAGGTCTGGTCTCGGAGTTCTCTGTCTTTTCCCAGACTTTGCTCGGCCCCTGCACACCGCCTGGTGTGGTTCTTCCACCCACATACACTGTGAGGCCTCAGCTCCATGGCCTTGCTCCTGCCACATGGAGTCGTGGTGATCTGTGTCCTGTTCATCTTTGTTCCCCTGAATTCTTGCCACTCACCCCTGCATCTGATGGCAGCGTTGTAATGTGGCCTGCTGCTCTGCCGCGTCATCTTCCCGGGCCTGACACTCAGCCATGACCCAGGTTCCTTCTCACGTCCCTGATGAGTGACATGCACCCCACTACGGGTGCTCGGGAAGCAGCTACCTTGGTGATGGGTGGCTGCCTGGAATTGGGGCACAGTCCCCATGCCCAAATATCCTTTCTGACATTCAGCCCCACCTTCTTGTTTATTTTCTCACCTTCTAATTTCCTGTTGATTGGCAGCATTTCCTTCCAGGATGATAAAGCTAATGCTAAATGACCAGAAAGTTGCTGGAAGCATTCATCCACAGAAGTTGAAAATAATTTTCATCCCCTGATGAAAATCAAGGGTACAATATATATGAATTATCTGTAGGAGAAGAATTTCCTGGGGACACAGTGTGCTTATTGGGCCCCTCCAGGCCCTTATCATTTGTAACTCAGGAGGCCTTTCCCCACCTTTTTTATTTTAAAATACACATACAGTAGAAGTTCCCCTCCTTATCACTTTTAAGTGCGTTGGTCTGGGGTCTGAAGCACATTGGCACCGCAGTGCAGCCATCACCACCGTCTGTTTGCAGGATTATTCTCTTGCTGGACAGACCGCATGTCAGTTACATTTCAGTGAGCCAGGAATTGCTGCAGGAGCTCTGCGCCCACTCAGGGATCCCGCCCCACTGGTCAGGGGTCTGTGTCAGTGTCCTGTTGGTTGGGGGTTCAGTCTCGGTGTGCCCGGCATCTCCAGGGGCTCGCTGCGTCTAGGTCGTCTCCAGTTTGTTGGTGTGTGATGGTCACAGTGCCTTTAGTGGTCTTTTTATTTCTGTAGAATGCGTAGAAATGTCCCCACTTGCATTTCTGATTTTAGAATTTGAGTCCCCCTCTTTTTTTCTTACTCCGTCTAGCTGAGATTGGTCGGTTACCCATCTTTTGAAGGAGCCACCTTTTGGTTTTGTGGTTTTCCCTTGTGATTTCTTATTTGACCCATTAACAGCATGTTAATTTCCACAATTTTCAGGTTTCCAGTTTTCCTTGTTACTGATTTCTAACTGTCGGTTGTGGTCAGAGAGGATATTTTGTGTATCTATCTTTCACAATCCATTGAGATTTAATCTGTGGCCTCATCTATGGTCTGTCCTGGAGAATGTCCTGTGGGCCCCGAGAAGAGCGGGTGTGCTGTCTGGGTGGCATGCCCCCGTGTGCCTCAGACCTCGTGGGGTGGTGGTGTCCAAGTCCTCTGTTTCCTTGCTCGCCGCCTCTGCTTGTTCTGTCCATGCTAGTGGCCTATAGAAGTCTCCAGCTGTTGATTACAGAACCATCTGTATTTCCAGTTCTTGTCAGTTTTTGCTTTGTATGTTTTGATGGTCTGTCATCGGGTCCACAAATGTTTATGGCTGTATCTTCTTGCTGGACTGAACCTTTTATTAATATACAATTTCTTTTTTGTCTCTTGTAACCATTTTTGATCTCTAGTCTATTTTGTCTGGTACTAGGGTAGCCAGCCTGCTCTACTGCAGTCACTATTTGCATGGGTATCTTTCCCAGCCTGTCACTTTCAGCCTGTCTGTGTCTTTGGATCTCAGGCGAGTCTATTAGACAGTGTAGGGTTGGATCATGTGTTTTAATCCATTCTGTTGATCTGTTTTTGATTGGAGAGTTTAACCCACTTACATTTTAGGTAATTACCTATAAGGAGGGACTTAATTCTGTCATTTTCCCATTTGGTTTCTCTGTTCCTTCCAGCTTTTTGTCCCTCATTTCCTGCATTACTGACTTTTGTGTTTGGTTGATGTTCAGTAGTAGAATGAGCTCCCTTTCTCATTTCCTTTTGTGTCTATTCTGTAGCTATTTCCTTTGCTTTCTGTAGAGGTTACATTTTAACGTTGTATAGTTAAACACTAATTTGTATTTATACCAGCTTAACTTCAATAACATACAGAAACTCTGCCCTATTCAGCTCTGTCTCCACCCCTTATTGATACCCCAAATCATATACACTGTATGTCCCAAAACATAGACTGTGTTTATGCATTAGTCTCTTAAATGACATAGAAAGCAAACTGTGGAATTATAAGCCAAACTTACAGTAATAGTAGCTCTGTTCTAAGAATAAAAAGCTCTGTTTTTGTCTCTAAAGGTATCAATCTTTTAAAATATGTAGAACAAAAAGTAAAGTTAAAAAGCAAAGTTACAATAATACCTCTCTTTGCAGATGCCTGAGCATTCATCTTTATTTCTTCAGTCAGCTTCCTGTTGCCATCCAGTGTCCTTCCACCTCACCTGCAGGACCCCCTCGAGTCCGTCTTGCAGGGCAGGGCAAGTGGTAACCGACTTCCTCGGCTTCTGTTTATCTGAGAATGGCTTAATTTTTTCTTAACTTTCAATTTTAAGGACAGTTTTGCTGGATGCAGGATTTGGGTTGGCAGTTTTTTTCTTTTAGCACTTGGAGTATGCCAGCCCACGCCTTTTGTCCTCCAGAGTTCCTGCTGAGAGCTCTGCAGACGCCCCTGCTGAGGACTCCTTGGATGTAGCAGTCGGCTTCTCCCTTGCCGCTTTTGGCATTCTCTCTCTTTGCCTTTGGCTTTCAGCAGTTGGACTGAAATGTCTTGGTGTGGGTCTTTGAATTTTTCCTGCTTGTAGTTTGTTGATCTTTTGGATGTGTATCTTCATGTGTTTCATTAAATTTAGTAAGTTTTTGACCATTAGTCAAGTAATTTCTCTGTCCCTGTTTCTCTTTTCTTCTCCCGGGTCTCCCACGAGGAGCATGCTAGGCGCCTTGGCGGTGCTGCAGCCTCCATTAGTCCTTCTTCTTCCTGTTCCTCATTGATAATTTCCACTATCCTGTCTTCAGGTTTGCTGATTCTGTCTTATGACTGCTCAAGTCTGCCTTTGAAACCCTGAAGTAAATTTTTCATTTCAATTATTGCAGTTCTTAGTTCCAGGATTTTTGAGGGGAGAGGGGTCTTTTAGGTTTTCTATCTCTTCATTAACATTTCCATTCATCTGTCATTTTCAGGACTTTCTCCAAGTCTTCTTTCAGCTCTTTGAGCATCTTTAAGACTTGTTTTAAAGTCTTTGCCTAGTAGGTCTGCCAGCCAAGTCTTTAACAGGGTTGGGTTCTGTTAATTTTTTTCCTTTGAATCTCCATACTTTCCTATATCTTGGCATGCTTTATGATTTTTGGTTGAACACTGGACACTTGAATCTAATAACATGGTAATTCAGGAAATCAGATTTTTCTATTCCCCAGAGTGTGCTGATTTTTGTTTATTGTTTTTGTTTTTTTGATTGTTATATTGTTTGTGTGCTGAGGATCAGGCTGAGATGTAAACTTAATGTCTTCTCAGGTCCTCTCTGAGCCTGCACCTTATGCTGAGCATGGGAAAGTGGTCACTTCCTTCCTTTTTTTTTTTAGTATCATTAATATACAATTACATGAGCAACATTGTAGTTACTAGATTCCCCCCATTATCAAGTCCCCACCACTTACCCCATTACAGTCACTGTCCATCAGCATAGTAAGATGCTATAGAATCACTACTTGTCTTTTCTTTGCTATACTTCCTTCCCTGTGTCCCCTCCCACATTATGTGTGCTAATCGTAATGCCCCTTTTTTCCCTTATCCCTCCCTTCCCACCCATCCTCCCCAGTCCCTTTCCCTTTGGTAACTGTTAGTCCATTCTTGGGTTCTGTGATTCTGCTGCTGTTTTGTTCCTTCCGTTTTTGCTTTGTTCTTATACTCCACAGATGAGTGGAATCATTTGGTACTTGTCTTCCTCTGCCTGGCTTATTTCACTGAGCATAACACCCTCTAGCTCCATCCATATTGCTGCAAATGGTAGGATTTGTTTTCTTCTTATGTTTGAATAATATTCCATTGTGTATATGTACCACATCTTCTTTATCCATTCATCTACTGATGGACACTTAGGTTGTTTCCATTTCTTGGCTATTGTAAATAGTGCTGCGATAAACAGAGGGTGCATATGTTTTTTTCAGACTGGGCTCCTGCATACTTAGGGTAAATTCCTAGGAGTGGAATTCCTGAGTCAAATGGCATTTCTATTTTTAGTTTTTTGAGGAACTTCCATACTGCTTTCCACAATGGTTGAACTAATTTACATTCCCACTAGCAATGTAGGAGGGTTCCCCTTTCTCCACAACCGTGCCAACATTTGTTTGTCTTTTGGATGGTGGCCATCCTAACTGGTGTGAGGTGATAACTCATTGTGGTTTTAATTTGCATTTCTCTGATGATTAGCAATGTGGAACATCTTCTCATGTGCCTGTTGGCCATCTGAATTTCTTCTTTGTAGAAGTGTTTGTTCAGCTCCTGTGCCCATTTTTTAATTGGATTATTTGCTTTTTGTTTGTTGAGGTGCATGAGCTCTTTTTTTATATTTTGAATGTCAACCCCTTATCGGATATGTTGTTTATGAATATATTCTCCCATACTGTAGGACGTCTTTTTGTTCTACTGATGGTGTCCTTGGCTGTACAGAAGCTTTTTAGTTTGATATAGTCCCACTTGTTCATTTTTGCTTTTGTTTCCCTAGCCTGGGGAGATATGTTCATGAAGAAGTTGTTCATGTTTATATTCAAGAGATTTTTGCCTATGTTTTCTTATAAGGGTTTTACGGTTTCATGACTTACATTCAGGTCTTTGATCCATTTCGAATTTACTTGTGTGTATGGGGTTAAACAATGATCCAGTTTCATTCTCTTGCATGTAGCTGTCCAGTTTTGCCAACATCAGCTGTTGAAGAGGCTGTCATTTCCCCATTGTATGTCCATGGCTCCTTTATCATGTATTAATTGACCATATATGCTTGGGTTAATATCTGGGCTCTCTAGTCTGTTCTACTGGTCGGTGGGTCTATTCTTGTGCCAAAAGTGGTCACTTTCTTAAGTCCCCTATATATGAGGTTATTTTTAAATGTCCTAATTTCTTAACATCTGGCTCACAAAAGGGAGAAAGAGAAAAATTAAGGCCCTTTAAATCACCTGGAAGTCCCTTCAGCTGGAGGGAGAAGGACTTCCAATGAATTGGGGGTCAGCAGCATTGTCACCTGCCTCTGTGTCTGCACCTCTGCAACCATAAGCTGCCATCAGAAACCAGAGTGCAGGCTCCAGGCTTCAGAGGACGGGGTCTTCTTGCTCGTCTCGGCTCCCACAGGCTGTGTGCGAGCTGCTATAGGAACATGTGGTGGGGGCGGGGGTGGGGGCTGGGGCTGCGGGGGTAACTGCCATTGAAACCAGTCATAATTGACCAGAATTCCCCTGGAAGCCACAGCCTTCATTCAGCACCAGTGCCCGGGAGTTTCTGGACAGGTTGTGGGCAGGCAGCTGTCTGGGGCTGGCTCTGGGGGTGTCCTGCCTGCCTGCCATCCTCCCAGAATCCTGCACTGCACAGCCCTCTGTCTGGTTTTTTACAGTGCCGGAGATTGTGAGGGAGACCGAGGATCTCATAGAGCAGGGGGCGCTTCTGCAGGCACACCGCAAGCTGATGGACCTGGAGTGCTCCCGGGACGGGCTGATGCACGAGCAGTACCGCCTGGACAGTGGGAACACACGTGACATGGCCCTCATCCATGGCTACTTTGGGAGCACGCAGGGGCTCTCTGATGAGCTGGCCAAGCAACTGTGGGTGGTGCTACAGAGGTCGCTGGTCACTGTCCGCCGCAACCCCACCTTGCTGGTCTCAGTTGTCAGGATCATCGAAAGGGAAGAAAAAATTGATAGGCGCATACTTGACCGAAAAAAGCAAACTGGCTTTGTTCCTCCGGGGAGGCCCAAAAATTGGAAGGAGAAAATGTTTGCCATCTTAGACAGAACCGTGACCACCAGGATCGAGGGCACGCAGGCGGATACCAGGGAGTCCGACAAGATGTGGCTTGTCCGCCACCTGGAAATCATAAGGAAGTATGTCCTGGATGACCTCATCATTGCCAAAAACCTCATGGTTCAATGTTTTCCTCTGCATTACAATATCTTCAGAAGCCTCCTGAGCATGTACCACCAGGCCTTGAGCACACGGATGCAGGAGCTCGCATCAGAGGACCTGGAAGCAAATGAGATTGTGAGCCTGTTGACATGGGTCCTGAACACCTACACAAGGTAACCCCAGCTTTATGTCTGCAGAGAGTGCATAAAAACATGCCAACAAGACAGTTTCTAAACAGCTAGAGTGGTTTTGCTCCTGGTGTGTGCTTGACCCCCACAGGTATCGTTCCCTGGCCAACAGAAGTCCCCCTTTGGGTCATGTGAGGGTCTCCCGGCTGTGTGGATGCTCCGTGTTTGGGTGGTGCCCCTGCCCTTTGACGACCAGTGCAGTGACGGGCTTTTCTGTGACACTGAGTGCTTGCTCTGCCCTCACATCCTCCGTGGGTGACACCCTGGACAGGTGGTCTCACACCCCTGGACATGGGAGGCCCAGCCCCACGATGCCCCATGAACTGCATTGTCCTGTGGCTGGTGGGAGACACCAGCTGTCCTCCCGGCTTCTGATGACCCTGGATGTGGGCTCCTCTCACCAGCACCCCAGAAAAATCACTTCTCGTGCCTTTCACCTTGAGTTTGGTCCCTTCCTGGAGGGGGTGTGGGCTGCTTTGTGCATGTGTGAGTCTGAGGTAGAGTTTGAAAGTTGGGGCGGCGGTGGGGTGTTTGAGTTCTCTGAGATCAGCCAGCACTGGGGACCTCATGGTCTGTGAGTAGAGGATAGCATTAATACCACACTGGGGTTTTTGTTTGAGCCTGTCTTGTCACTAGTGTGTAGGAATCAATCAGCCCTCTTGTTTTAGCAGTAAGGTCTTGGGATTTTTTTGTGTCTTTGGCCACTGCCGTGGTAGAGAATGTGTAAGGACATGGAGAAAAAGGAAGCATCTCCCACCCACAGACAGTGGTGGCCACCACGGCCATGTGAGCCAGGCCTGGCCTCAGTGCCTCCTGGCACTGCCCTCATCCGACCTGTAGTCTGCAGGGCCTTGCCCACCCTCCCCGTTTCCCTGTGTGGGCCTCGACTCCCTTGTGTCGTTCACATGAGGAGGGCTCTGCAGTGGCCCTCTCTCCTTGTGAATGAGGCTCAGGAGTGGCAACTGGGCTCACAGGCCATCCGGGAGGCAGGACTGGGTTCGAGGCACGGGACCTTAACCGTCCCTCCTGCCACCAGGCCGAGGTGCATGTCCGTGGGGGGGCAGTCTCTGCCTGCATCTAGTTTCCGGCACACTGTGAGCATTTCCCCCTTGGGCATTCTGTGGCCTCACCCTGGGCATCCCTGCATGGTGGATGTCCTCATGGGAAAAGGCGACCTGCTTCCGTGATGGAAACATTCCGTGCTGATTACGGCTCTGGGGATGAGAATAACCTCGTCTTCTAGTATTTGCAGGATCATGTTAAGCGTTTTTCACTCAAGAAGACCTTGGGCTTCTCACAGACACTAGACTAGTATTAATGTCCCATGTCATCACTCTAAACATACATGTAGGGAACTGGCAGAAGTCATATGAATTTTCTGAGCATTCAGACCCTGGACTTTTAAGAACCTAACCACATACATAGGTATTAGCTGTATTTTCTGAAAACTTTTTCTGAAGCAGTCACATCCCTGCCTTTGGCCCAGTAGGCAGCCAGGGACACTTCCTCGCTAATGCACCTCCTTACGAGCCTCATGTCGCCCTCCTGCAGGAATTAGCAACATTAACCTCAGCAGTTCATATTTCTGAATTACAGTACTTGCTTATTATTGCACATCTATTGGAGCATGTGTTCAGCATCTGCTGTCTGTCAGGCACTGGCCTTCCCCAGAACAACAGAGCCTACTCTCACCTCCCTCACTTGGGCTTCTCTCCCAAGTGCAGTCTCCAGCTCCCATCGTGTGGGCACAGCACACTGAGGCTGGGGGGTGTGGTGCCCTCGGTGGCCACCTGGCACCGCCCAAGGCCCGGCCCAGCCCGGCCCTGGCTTCTGGCTGGGCATCTGTGTGTCAGAAAAAACAGTAACACTTACTGAGGATTCTCTTCTTCCCTCACAGCTAACCTTTCTCACTCCTGGTTTTCACTGTAGTGCAGAGATGATGGGGAACACGGAGCTGGCCCCAGAAGTGGACGTCAGCACCCTGGAGCCTTTGCTTGCTCCAAACGTGGTCTCTGAGCTGCTTGACACGTACATGTACACTCTTACTGTGAGTAGAGCAGCCTGCGGTCCCCAAAGGATGTCTGGTACTGTGGCCGCATGGGCCGAGACTAGCAGGCAGGAGGCACGGGGCCTTGTCTTGGTGTTGGCTTCCTAAGAATTCACGGGCTCTGGAACTGGGTCCTCCAATGTGTGTTTGCCAGTTAGATCAAGGGGATGGTCCCTCCTCTGGCCCTGGGTCTGGAGACTGCCTGGGACTTTCGTCCCACAAAGGAGTAAGCCTGTCCTCGTTCTAGTGGGTGTGGGAGACCCAGGACGTCCCGCTGACGTGTGGTGGTGCCTGCCAGCCATGAGGCTGAGCCCTGGACTGTTAGGGTGGCAGATAGGGGAGATGCCCATGTAGTCTCCAGAAGATGCGGTCAGGGCCTGCTTCCGGGGGCAGGATGGGCCCAAGCATGACAGCACTGTGGCTGAGAGGCAAGGCCCACGCCTAGAAGCAGAAAGGGGCTTTGTGCTCCCCGGGTGATGGTGGGATGCCTTGTGCACCATGCACAGGCCTGGCAGAGGTGGGGGCCTCATGCTCCCCGACTCCTGTCTGGCCCAGCCTCTCCTCCAGGACCAGTCATCTGAGATGTCAGCTGGGTAGAGGCTGGCCTGCTATGCAAGTGGCCCGTGGATGGCCTGTCTGTTGTCCCCTTGCTGTGGTGCAGGAACTCCGGGTTCTGTGTCTGTCTGGTACGGCAGCTGCACCCCAAGGAGAAAACCCTGTTCTTCCCTTTCTTTCCCTGTGATGCTGGACTTGCCTAGTCAAACATCATCGCCTGGCTGAGGAAAGCGCTAGAAACAGACAGAAGGGACTGGGTAAAGGAGAGTGAGCCTGAGGCCGACCAGGATGGGTACTACCAGACCACGCTCCCTGCCATCGTCTTCCAGGTACTGCCTGTGCTCTCGAGGCCCAGCTCCGGGTTTCAAGTGGAGCCTGAGGGGTTATGCATGGGTCACATGCTTGCTGAAGCCACAGCCTCACCTCCCCGAGGGCCGCCTGGGCCTCCTGCTCTGGATTCGATCTAGAGCCTGATTGTACATCATTGCCTGTGATGCGTGAGTTGGAGTTTGCTTGTTTGGTGTTTCCTGTTATTGTAAATAGCCAGGATTTGTCACCACCCTCGGCCCCCTGGTGTCGTCCGGGCGGTTGTCTTGCTCTCTTTCTCTTCTGGCCCCTGCTCATTCCTTGAGCAGCACTGCTGATGGTGGGGGATGAGCCCCACCCACATGTTGCTGGGGGACTCTGCCTGCTGGCGTTCCTCTCTGGGTGTCACCAACAGCTAGCCACGGCAGTCCCTGCCCTTCCCTATAGTTCGGAAACTCTGACATCCTCACAGGCTGCATGTGACTAGGACCTGGGGTGAGCTGTGCCTGTGGCACTTGCCGTGTCCTCCCAGTTCTTAAGAAATCCACAGCAGAGCCCAGACCAGCCCTTGGGGCCCACATGACACCAACCACTCCAGCCCCCTGGGCCTGTCTCCCTTTCAGCTCAGGGAGTGTGTTCCTGGCCCCCTTAGTGGGGACCAGCCCATTTGCAGGCAGTTAGGAAATGATCCACTTGGTTTTTTACCCAGTGAGAATGGTGCTTATTTATTTCTCTAACTGTTGTTTTTCAAGTGGTTTCATTTTTATCTGAATGTGGACTGTCCTATCAGATGGGGCTTTTATATGAATGGAAATCTGCACTCTTGTGAGTTTATGTCAGAATTCATAAGTTCTCCAATTTCTAGATGTTCGAGCAGAATCTTCAGGTTGCTGCTCAGATCAGTGAAGATTTAAAGACAAAGGTGCTGGTCTTGTGTCTTCAGCAAATGAATTCTTTCCTGAGTAGGTAAGTATTCTCACCACTGTGCTAATTTAGAAAGCATATGTTTCCAAAAACTAAAATCAAGAATAAGTTGATCCTCATATCCTCAATATTAACACAGAATTTAAGCCTGGATATCTGACACCTTCTTTTGTTACTTAGAAACACAAGCCTTTTCTTACTATCTTCTTTTGGAGTGGGCGATGCTGTCCCCAGACCTCAGACCAACAGGTTTTGCTGAGTTTCCTAGGCTGGGGAAGACACCATGTGCGAGCCCTGCATGGGGGTCATGGGATGCCCCCCCACCTCGTGGCTTATGCCTAAAGATTTTCAAACCGACACAGAAGGAGGAAGAATGGCATAAAAAGCTGTTCACTGTCACCCTTAGGGCTGCCCCCCTACACTGCCCCCTCTGTCCCCTCCCCTCTCCCCACCCCACCTCTTTCCCCGCCTCCCCTCCCCTTTCTCCCCCTCTTCCCCCACCACCCTACCTGCACCTCTCTTTCTCCCCTCCCCTCTCCCTCTCCCTCTCTCACTCTCTCATCCAAAGTTCTCTAACCCAAGTGCCAGTGTTGCGTTTCAGCCCCTACATTCTCCACCCATACTGCAGGGCCATCAACCACATAAAATGTGGGTAGGATGGTCATTCCATAGAGTCACCTGACACTGAGCTTGTGCTTGGGTTTTCCCATGGTCAGACGTGTCTTTCTGTCCTTACCACTCAGAAGGCACATCATGTGACCTTTGGGTTGCTGGGAAGCCCTGGCTGGTGATCTTCCGTCCTGTCCGTCGATGCCCACCCTGGTCCTTGGGCTGCTGCCCATGAGCCACCAGTCGGCTCCAAAGGCTTGTGGGAGCCTCAGTGTGCTTATTGTTGGGCGGGAACCTGCAAGGAACCCCCACGGCCTGTGTCCTGCTCAGGTGGCTCGGCTCGGACAGCCAGCCCCTTCCTGAGGGTCTCCCTCAGCCACCCTTCGGGGCTTCAGCCTGGGTCAGTCATTTCTTGAGTCTTTGCACCAGCATTAGCCATTTGATTACCTGAACCACACTTTGGATAGAAAGGTGGAATAAATGCTTAATTACTTCCCTTTAATCACCAGTTTTCCAATTTGCTTCTTTCTTAAGGTATTTGAAAAATATATACAGCACATTGCACTGCTTTTCTTCTCCTGGATATGTCTGAGAATATCTGTGATAAATTCAACAGTTCAATAGTGTTTTGTCTTCTTGGCCTCTAAAGAGTCTAATTTATTTTATTTGATTTCTTCAGGGAAAGCTTTAGAAAGGGACATATCATGTAACATTTGATAGTGTTTCTAAAATTGTTGTGTTTCTAGATGAATTGTTTCTCAGATATAATACCTTCCCAACTATTCACAAATGTTGCAGAATACTGTATAGTCAGAATACTGAACGGTATCTCAAAGCCTGATATGAAATTAAGTTTTTATAATCAAATTAGAACGATCAGCTTCTCGGCCCTCCTAGTAGTATAGATCATCCAGAACTGTTTTATTTTAAATGCCCCTCCAGTCGCACATCAGTGATGGGGACTCATAGGGTGTGACATCACTGTGGCGTTGGAGACGCCTCCAGGCTTCCCTCCCGTGACCTGCCTGTGGGGCTGTGTGCTCGCAGGTACAGAGATGAGGTCCAGTCATACAAAGAAGAGCATCTGAGGAACCGTCAGCACCCGCACTACTACGTCCAGTACCTGGTCGCCGTCATCAACAACTCCCAGACCTTCAAGTGAGGGGCTGCAGCCACCCCATGCTCGGGAGGAGGACAGGCCTGGGGCGCTCAGCCCCACATTGAGCAGCAGTGTCTCCTTTCAGAGAATCCATAGTCAGCTTAAAAAGGAAGTATTTGAAAAATGAAGCAGAGGAAAGCACATCTCTGAGCCAGCCCAGCGTGGACGGGATCCTGGACGCCATCGCCAAGGAGGGCTGTGGCAGTCTGCTGGAGGAGGTCTTTCTGGACTTGGAGGTGGGTACTAGTGCTTCCTGCTCCCTTTTCTGGGCTGAGATGCCGTGTTTCTCATCCGCCCTCTTGGTGCCCCATGGTGAGTGTCCTGTGGATGGTGCACTTGAGCTAAGTGGCCCCCAGGTTTGTTCCCATCATGCTGGTGCCTCTGTTTTTCTGAGGTATGTGCTTTGTATGGCACAGGCCTGGGCTGGGGTCTTTCTGACACTCAGCTGAATGGGGGCGCCAGTAAATAGGAAAGAGACACAACTCAGTGGGTCCCAAGTTAGAAATAAGTGTTTAGAGAGAGACTTGAGTATGAGAGGTAGTGAACTCTTGATACTAAAACTAAATTGAGAATGTGTGCATGCATGCACACGTGTCACATAGATCAGTCTCAATTTTGAAGAAAAATATAAGCAAAATCATTAACATTGCATCTAGCATCATATCAAAGGCATACACATTGTGAATAGTAAGGTTGTTTCAGAAATACACATGTGGAGATGTAGGCAGAAACCAGAATGTACATAAAGCAAGCTGTGATGTCTGCTCCTGGGAGAGAGCTCCGGATGGTGGGTGGGTGACAGTTTAGAAAACAAAAGAAATGTTTGCACTTGGAATCAGCATATGAAAAAGACAATGTGCTAGAAAAGCCAGCGACAGACAAGACTGACCATTTCACAGAGGGGTTGCAAGTGTCCTGACTGGGAAGCAAATGCTAATCCTGCCGTTCTTCATAGAACTGCAAATTAAAACTGGGTAGATTTATTGCTTAGAATGGCAGTGGTCAAGAACTGATGGGGGCCTGAGAAGAGTTGTTCCCTGAATTATGTGTAAAACTGGGACTCGTACAGTTTCTGGAGGCAATTTGTAAACAAGGTTATCCAGGTTAGGTTTTAGTTTGCATACTTTTTGACTGAGCAGCCCCTCTTCTAGGAATTTAACTTCCAGAAATATACATTCACTGCAGCATTCTTTATAACTATAAAACTTGCCAAGTTTTCAATGTCCATCAGGATTGGGTAAGTCCCAGAGTATCTGCATAATAAACATTTAATAGTCATTAACGGTACAGCATGTGCTTGCAGACACCTGCCCATATAAGGTTGAGACCTCATGGGAGGTGTGTGGTGTAAGCATGATCTGTTAACGTGGTTTGCGGATAGCATTGCACTAGTTTAACGTTGTTTGTGGGTAGCATTGCACTAGTTTTCCCAGGAACAGGTGTGGAAGTAACCGTTGGCTCAGGCCTCACGAGGTTGGCTCTGCAACACTTCCCTCCTGGTGCAGCGACTTGGGGACACTGTCCAGGTGATGTTTTCTGTGCTCTTCGCTTCTCAGCAACATCTCAGTGAGCTGATGACCAAGAAGTGGCTGTCGGGTTCGAGTGCTGTAGACATCATCTGCGTCACCGTGGAGGACTATTTCAACGATTTTGCCAAGATTAAAAAGCCTTATAAAAAGGTAGGGATGTGGGGCACAGTGGCGTGCCAGTGTCCAAGTGGAAGTGCACATGTGGCTTGGTCAACGTAGAGCAGGTGGGAGACACCAGGCCTGAAGACAGAGGAGGGCGTGGGCTTCTGTGTGGAGACCGAGGCTGTTTGTCCAGGACCCCTAGGCCTGGAACCCCACACGTGGCAGGGACCTCCTCAGCAGCACCAAGGCCCCTCGAGGGCAGGCCGCTGGCCTCTCCACCTGGCAGAGGACCGAAGGGTGCTAGCTGCGTGATGCAGAACCTGTGAGAGCCCAGAGCCCCACAGCAGGCGGGGGAGCGGAGCCATGTACAGAGCACGTGCCGGTCTGATTCTTCTCCAGGTCTTACCAGGGGTGGGGGGCCTCTTCCCCCACTATTCTCAGAGTCTTGTGTTGTTTTTGCTGCTGTTACCATCGAAAGTGTTACCATTTTAAAGTGAGGCGTTCTACATGTTTGTTTCCGGTTTGTGAAATGTAGTGGTTCTGCTAAGTCGCTCTCAGGTCCAGACGCGTGGTGAAGCCATCTTTGTTCCCAGGGTTTGCTGTCTCTGAGTGCGGACATGTTTCCCTGCCGGCCCTACGGCTTCTCCCCGCTCGCCATGGCTCCCTGCCTCATGGCCAGTGTAACTGCTCTGCTGTTAGAAGTGATGCTTGCCAGGACCCACGTGTTCTAAACCCACCCCTCCCAGCCACTGGGAGCCTCTGGGAGCCGCGCCGTGTGGGGCCGCCCTGCTCACTCTGAATTTCTGCTTGCACAGCGTTTGGCTTCGCCTTTTTTGTCTGTAAACATCACTGTGCTGATGAGCCTGAGTGTGTCTGTGGAGCCCGCAGGCCAAGTGCTCCTTGCCCAGGGAGATCATTCTCAGTTTCTGAGGCCGGCCCTTCGCTGTGTGCACCTGCTGGACGCCTGTGGGGTACCCCCCACCTTGGCGCAGGGAGTGGAGCCTCCCACAGGTAGATGGGACCCAGCTTCTGTTGGTCTGGGGGCCCAGGTGCCACACGCCCCTCACCTGTTTCATGTGCACCTCTGCAGGGTGTCTGGTGCCTGTCTCCCACTGGTGGGGGGGCTCGCGCTGGTGGGAGCCTAGGTCTCCCATGTGTCCTCTTTACTGAGAAGAACCCATGTGCAGATTTGGGGTTCCTTGGAAGCACCCCTGGCTCCAGTGCCAGAGCCTAGTTCTGGGCACATCTGCCCTGCGGAGCACACACTCTGCCCTCGGGCACCATGCTGAGGTGTGTATGGCAGGGATCCCAGAACAGCTTGGAATGGGCGCTGTGCTGCCCCTGTTGTGCATTTGTGTCCCCAGAGCGGCGGCGAGGCTGCAGGCAGGTGCTGTTGGTGCTCACCTGCTGGCTTTCCAGATAGGAGCTCCAGCGTGCATGCGTGTCAGCACCTGTGGGCGCCATCCACAGGCTGCAGGCCAGCCGCCCGCAGGCGTGCTAACCTTCCCTTTCACCATTTACTTTGATGGAATGGTGAATGTGGTAGGGTTTTCAAAACAAGGTCAGGCAGACCAGGGCGCCTCTTCAGCTTAGCGCTCACTCTGGGCTCCTGCCGTGGAGCGGTGGGAAGTGCCCGGGTTCACCCAAAGCCCACGTTTGCCCCCACAGAAGATGATAGCCGAGGCACACCGGCGGGTGGTGGTGGAGTACCTGCGGGCCGTCATGCAGAAGCGCATCTCCTTCCGGAGCCCGGAGGAGCGCAAGGAGGGTGCAGAGAGGATGGTCCGCGAGGCTGAGCAGCTGCACTTCCTGTTCCGGAAGCTGGCCTCCGTGAGTGTGCTGCCCCCGCTCTACCCGGGGCTCCACCGCTGAGCGGCATCAGTGGCGTCAGAACCAAGTAACGGCTAGTTCATTTTTCTGGAAACAGAAAACGTGTTTTCTGAGCCTGGGGTGGGGCACATGCACGGAGGGCTGTAGCCTCTAGACTCTGGGGGCAGCTCAGCAGCCTGGCTCTGAGATGGCGCTTGAGGCCCGCCCTTCCTGGGCAGCTGCTGTGCTGTCCCGAGATGCTGGGCTGCCAAGGCAGTAGGTGCCCCCAGCCTTCCGACCCCTGCCTCCCTCGAAGGAGCCCAGCCCCCACGGCTGAGCAAGGCTTGTTTGCTGGAAGGGGAGCCACTCGGGGCGTCAGCCAGGGAGCTTGGCGGAGACACTGGTGCCTCTGACGAGCGTGGTCACTGCCCTCCAGGGGTTTGGGGAGGACATAGACGCACACTGTGACAGCATCATCGCCATCGCAGAGGTGATTAAGCTCACAGACCCCTCCCTGCTCTACCTGGAAGTCTCGACTCTGGTCAGCAAGTACCCAGACATCAGGTAAGACAACGTGTCTTCCCATTCCAGCCAGAATAACAAGAGGGGAGCAACGAGGTCGTTGCTAGGGTCCCAGCCATAGGCGTGGGTCTGGTGGGCAGCAGCGGTCCGGGCGCCTGGGAGGACTGGCCCTCCAGACGGCAGCCACAGGCAGGGCATCAGGAGCCTGCTGTGCTCCCTGCAGCCTAGTTTTTAGGCCAGCGTCTGCCGTGCAAGCCCCTTGTGCCCCTCGGCTGGTTCACCCCAGGTGCTTTTGTGAGCCTGTCCCCTCCTGCCTCCTCTGCCCAGCACCTGCTCTGAGCTGGCTTTGGGGAACCTGTGCATGGGCAGGGAGCATGCTTCCGCCCGCCAGCCTGGGCCTCTATCGTCCGGAGCATGCTGGGCATGAGGCAAGCACTGTGGGTGCCTGATGTGCCCCTGACATGGGACCCCATCCACAGGGATGATCACATTGGCGCCCTGCTGGCCATGCGAGGGGACGCCAGCCGGGACATGAAGCAGACCATCATCGAGACACTGGAGCAGGGCCCGGCACAGCCCAGCCCCGGCTACGTGCCCATCTTCAAAGAGATCGTGGTCCCCAGCCTGAACGTGGCCAAGCTGCTCAAGTAGGCATGTTGAGGCCGCGCTCCTGCCCACCCTCAGCCCTGCGTGTCCGCTTCCTTGGCACCAAGCGCACGCTGCCTGAGGAACGTGCCCTGAGGCCGTGTGTCCCCAGCGGCCTGTGTGGGCGCCTGCGCAGCCTGTCCTCACGCTGCCCTGGGCCGCTCATTCCGCTGTGCGCCTGTCACGCTCTGCTACTTAATAAAGAGCCTGAACTCCTGCCAGGAAGCAAAAACATGCAGTCGTGTGGGTTTTCTTACTAGTGAATGTCTTGCGCTGCTTTCCAGTTGCCAGACCTGCCCTCCGGGTGACCCTCTGCCTCAGCGTGGAGCCCCTTAGGCGCAAGTCCTTGGACTCGCACCTCAGCTCTCACCTGCTGGGTCACAGCTCGTCCTCCCACCCAGTGCCGGGCAGTCAGCAAGTGGATGAGCTGAGTGCATCAGGTCTGGTACAGTGAGTGAGGATGCGGCGGCGACGTGCACCTAGGCCACCGCTAACCTGGCTCCGCAGCTCTTTCTGTTGCCACCATCTCTCTGCAGCACCTGCCTCAGCAGTGGCCTCAGGTTGCACCTTAGGGTTTAATTTTACACCCAGTTAACTACCAAATTACACCCAAAATAAACATCCTGACCCTTCCTCATGCCACATCTCAGTGGACGGCCGGCTCTGGTGTAGCCATGTGACGCTGGGACAGAAAGTTGCAGGGCTCTGCCGGCAGGTCCCGCCACCCTTGCTTCCGGGCCCCAGGACTGGCTGGCCCCTTTGCCACGGGCCGCCAGCCTCCCCGGGGACGTGCCGTGCAGTGTGCTCTGCCTGCTGCTGCAGGACATCCTGGGCATTGTGTCAGGCTGCGGCCACAGGTGTCTGGTCTGTGTGACATGGGTTTTCCTCTCGAGGCATGTTTGAGACAGCAGTTGGTTTCATTTCACCCTCACGAGACATGAAAAACTGGGGGACTTGCTCTTGGGTCTGAACCTAAATGGAATTTGGGGGTGCAGGAGCCAGACACAGCTCTGGTGTTACCTGCACAGGACAGGTGCGGTCCTCCTGAAGGGGTGTGGCTGCTCTGCTATTCCCTGTGTGCACGTTCGTTCCAACAGGCCCCAGACGCTGCTCAAGTGCTCAGTGCTCTTATTGACAGTCATTAATTACTTAGTGCCTCTTATAATAAAAAATGTTTATTTTTCCACTGGCTGAGAGAATTTTTACTCCAGGTTATTTCTGGAAAAAATACCAAGGTGAGCATTCAGAGACAGGCTGGGGGTCACACATCTGCTGGTGTTTGACGTCACATTGCAAATCATGGGGACATGTGACTTTGGAGCAGGACATTGGCTGGGACGGGCTGGGCAGTGGGGGCCACGGCAGAGGGCCATCTCCCAGAGGGTGTGCATGCTGACACCAAGGGGAGGGTCATGTTCAGGCAGGCCGCTTAGTGAGAGACCAGTGCATAGGACCCCAGGGCCCGTCGGCAATGGGCCTAACAGGACAGGGAGTCTGCAGCCCCTCCCAGGAGCAGGTTCATCTGCTTGGGCCACCACAGACTCCCTGAGTCTGAGACTCATTCTCCATGAAATCACTTTGCCATTCAGTTGGAAGAACACAAGCTAGGAAATTTCCTTGGCTCGGTGTTATTCAGTGGGTTTCCAGGGAGTGGGGAGAAGGGGCTCCTGACTGTTAACCAGTGGGTATGTGGCTCCTGCCAGCCCAGCTGTCACCTGCGTGCTGTCCCTGTGTCTAAGGCACAGTCCAGGTGGCTGTAATGAGCACACCCCAAAACGCGAAGCTTGAGCATGGGGCTGGCTTCCTGTGCAGCGGGGGTTGGTCCGGGATGGGGCTTCCAGCCGCCCTGCCTGCCCGTCTTGGGCACAGCTCAGCTAGGAATGCCAGGGAGGACAGCCTGGGAGGTCCTCCCCTCCTGGGAGCAGACCCAAGGCACAGTGTAAGGGGAAGCCAGGGAAGTGGCCCCCCTGGGTTAGCTGAGCTGGGGGCCCTGATCCCGCATGACTGTCCTCTCGAGGCCCAGGTGAAGGCATGTGGGGGGCGCTTTTCCCAGCCTCAGAGTGCCGGGACTGCAACGTCAAAGGACTCATGGGGCTCACAGGGAGTGAGGCCCTACCCACACCTTGATTTCGGACAGGCTCCCCGTTTGGGGGCTTCCTTGTGGCAGCCCCAGGGATGAGCACACTCCTTGGGGACTCTGCCCCCTTTGAAATGGCTGTTTGCTGGTTAGACCCCTGAAGATACCTGTGGACTCGACTTTCACTTGCTATTTTCTTTTTATGATACTTAAAATTTTAGCTATTGAGGGGTATGTTTCTGTGATGCTGAGACCTCAAGGGTGACTGTTGGGCCTGCGTGTAGGGCCAGCCCTTGTGGTTTCGCCTGCTGGGAGCTTCACTGGAATCCACCTGCAGGGCAGGGGGGTTGGTGATGATAACAGGATGCCCCGCGACATTTAGGGGCAGGTACACTGGCCCCCGCCCTTGGGTCCACTCACATCTCTGCCCCTGCCACCACACTTGCTTGACTCCACCAAGGCCCTTGCCCACCCAGACTCTGGACCCCACTGTCCCTGTCAACCTCCTTACAGTCCCTGGCCCACCCCCTCCCTATCTGGCCAGGTGGGCACTGCTCCTGCCCTTCCCAGGGCTGCCGACTGTGTGCAGCTGTGCATGTGAGTGGTGGCTGGCTGCCCATCTCTGCTGGGGAGGCCTGGGTTCCCAGGGCCCAGGCTGTGCCTGCAGCCATGTGTCCAATGATCTTGGATACCCAGAAGGGGCTTCCTGATACACACACACATGTCAGCCACTTTAGTGCCAGCACAATGCCTGCAGGGATGCCTTAAATTCTCCTCAATACGATTTCTCATTTAGAAACAAAATGTGCACTCAGAAATGCCTTGGAACATTTTTAATAGGCTTGATCAAGCAGTCACGGCAGGTTCTGTGATAGGATCCTGCCCAAGACACATCCATGTGGCACTTTAAGGCACATTGTTTTGTGATTAGGGGCAACACAAGTTTGACTAAAATTACATTCACAAAATCAACAATGTCCATGACTTGTAACTTAAAATACATTTCAATTCCAATGAAATTCTTCCTTAAATATCTTTTCGCAATAGATCAATAGCGCACAGTGTGTGAGCACTGTAACAAAACTATTTTCAAAAAAACAAGTGAGAAATAGCTAGTTATATACTTTATAGTACAGAGTAGGCCAACGTTCAGTATTAAATAAATAGGATTCTTTCCTAATAAAAAAATTTTACAACAGTTTTCCTAAGGAAATACATTCATAAGACTATGTACATTCTAGTTTACGATGACGAGAACAGCTAAGATTCTCAGTTATGAAATGTGTCCACAGTACTGGGGTTCATAACACTGACTCTGGAGGGCCAAAATGTGGGGATCTGTGCATCGGGCTTCCTGCCTGCCTTCAGTTCCACGCAGCTGTGCTTGCCCTGTGCAATCCAATGCAGAAGATCTGCCCTCCCACTGCAGAATACATGGGGCCATCAAGGTGGCCAGAGGCATTTGTCACACTGATTCACCACCTGGCCATTCAGTAGCTCTGGTGTGGACTGGGGTGTCTGGGAACTGTCCCTGAGCCGCTTTCCCGGACTGACTCAGGCTCCAGCTCTGCAGCTGGGGTCAAACTGGCCTCGCAGCCCAGGTGAATGTTAAGGCAGCTGAAGGTGCTGGCCCAGTGGAGCCACTCCTGCAGGGAGCCCTCCTACAGGTGTGCTGGGTGGCTGGGTGCCTGGCTGGCCTGGGTGTAGTGGGGTCACCAATGGGTTTGGGTGTGCAGGGAATGGCTGGATTGTGCTCAGAGTTGGTTAAAATTCGCAGCATGTGGAGAACGGCTACGCAAAGCCAAACATCACCTATTTATCTGTGGTGGCGGAGCTCATGACTAGAGTAATGAGCAGGTCCTCACCTGGACTCACATGCATTGTGAAAAGACTGCTAGTAATCCTGGGCTCTGACAGCTGGAAGGACATAGCCGTCAGCACATGGGCACAGCCCAGCACAGTGTGGCTGGTCCTTTCCTGAGTAAGGCTGAGTCTAGCTTCTTCAGAGAAGCTCCTAGGGCATCTGGAAGCCCACTGCCCCTTATCCTTTACCACCTGTGTGTAAAGGAGAGGGCAGATGGGGGCCGACTGTGCAGCTCCGTCCCTGGCTCACTGTGTGGCTGCCTTGCCCCACTCCCCCACTGCACCCCCCAGGACAGCTGGACTGTGGTTACCCTCCAGAGGAGAGGGGGTGCTCTGCCCAAGGCTGCACCCCTGAAACCTCAGTGGGGTGGGAGGGGTGTCTATCCTACAAGATCCTCTGGGCAGGCCTAGGGGTCCTACAAGGCTCTGAACCTCCTGCCAGTCCCTGGACTCCCCACAAGACAGCAACTCCTCCCCTGCTGTGGTTGAGGGGCCAGAGCAGCCATGGGGCCCAGGTCCCTAGGTATGGGCTGTGACTCTAAACAAGATTGCTTGCTAAGCGAGGGTCCCACTCGAGCTGTGCAGGTGCACCCACATGGGCAGTCACCCTCTAAGCCAGCCTGGCCATCCACCAGTGTTGAGGGGACAGCTCAGGCTGGAGGGCAGGTGTGTGGGGATGGGGCGATGCCTGGTGCCCAGAGGCCACTACACCAAGACCTGGGTGCATGCAGGACAACTGCTGGGCTCTGGGAGGATGAACAGATGGAAGATGTTTCTGCAATTGTACCTACAATCCATAGGCTGACAGGTAACTCAAAGACCTGGCAAGTGGCTATCAAGGTATCATAGGGGGCTCAGATACCCACAACCCCAAACCCAAGGCCTGGGAATTGCTCCCGGACTTAGGGCCCTCGCTGGGGTAAGCCCAGGGGAGCTTTGAAAGAGGCAGCCAGGGCCTGGAATCTTGAGTGGGTATCACGTTGGGAAAATCTTATTTTGTGTGTGCCTCGGTTTCTCTGGCAGTGATGATAACATGGACACAAGTGGCAAGAACTCAAACACGAAGTCCAGCCTCTGGGGCCCAGGACCCTTCTTATCCCTAAGTAGGGGCCCAATGGACAGAGTCGCACACAAGTGCTGGCTCAGTTCGCAACCAGACAGGTGGACAGAAGGACCCGCACAGGTTCCCGGACAGGGGCACCTGCCCAGGCCCCGCCCCCCGGAAGCTGGAAGCGGCTGGGGAGATCCAGGTGCCGGCCTGCAGATCCTTTCTGCAGGCGGCCCCACTGATTTCCGAGGTTCATGCCTGCCGGCACGACTGGTCCCTGGGGCCCACTCTAAACCAGAGTCCAGCTCAATGGCCGCTCCAGCACCTAGACGCTGGACGGCTGAGCACCCAGGGCTACTCCAGGAGCCAGACGGGAGGGCCCTGGGGCGGAGCCGTGGACGAGGACCCCCCGGTGGGCGGGGCCGTGGGGAGGGGACCCTCAGGTGGGGAAACGTGGAGGAAGAACCCCGTGGGGGACGAGCCCCGGGAGGTAGGGGCCGTGGCGGGCCCGGCCCGCGCCCGTCACAGCGGCGTCTCCTCCTGCTCCAGAGAGTGCGGCGGCGTGTGGCACGACGGCTGCAGGGACGCCAGCTTGAGCAGCGCTGGGCGGCGGCGCGCGCGGGGCCTCTGAAACGAGCGCCGGCTGTGCACGCGGCGCGCCGCCGCAGACCGCGCGTGCGCGCCCGGCAGCCCGCGGCGCTCCGGCCCCGCCCCCGGCTCGCGGTCGGGCGGCACGGGGGGCGCGGCCGGGGCCGGGCTCGGGGCGCGCACGCGCAGGGTCCCCTCAGGCGGCCGGGCCCTCTCAGCGACGGGCGGGGCTCCCCGCGGGGACGAGCGTCGGGTCAGCGGCACGTCGGAGCCCGTGTCACCTGCGGGAGAGGCGGCGTGAGCACGGAGGCCGCCGGGGGGCGAACGGGGAAGGCTAGTGTGGCTTGGTGACCCGGGGGCGGGGGGCCTGGAGGCCCCGGGGCGGCCCCCAACACACCCAGCCTTAATCCCGTCCCCACTACTTGCAAAGCTCTGGCAGTTCCAGGCCATGTCCTGGCTGTGCCCCCTCCCGCCCCAGTACAGTGACAGGGTCAGCCGAGGACCCGACTCTGCAGCCCTACCATCAGGTGCCCCTTCCACGAGAGGGAGCCCAGCACCATGCCCGTCCTGTCGTAAGGACCCAGGCAAGAGGGAGGGTAAAGTATGAGGTTCAGACACAGAAGCCAGAAGAGGCAGAGGGGCAGCAGAAGCACAGGGCAGGGGGTCCTGCGCTCGGCATTGTCATCTGCCCCCAGCTCACTGCAACTGTCACTTCTCGTCCCCACGAGGGGACGTCCCAAGAGGAAGCCAAGGGAAAGGCTGGTTGCCTGCTTCCTCCCAAGTGCCCACCAAATGCCCAAAGGGAATGTGAAATGAGCCCACACCCTGCCCAGGGGGTGGGGGAGCTAAGCACCCTTCCTTGCGGAAGACAAAGTGGCCACACCTTCCGGGGACCCAGCTGGAGCACCCCTGCTGAGGAGGTGCCTTCCCTCCCCTCCTCTCCTGAGCCAGAAGCCCCCATGGGCCGGGGCAGGGCTGGCTGGTGGGCAGGCCAGCTGTTGGCCTGCTCTCCTCTCTGTGAGGCTCGAAGGTGCGGCAGATTTGGACCTGGATCCTGCTGCCCTGTAGGCTTTCCCAGGTCCAGGGCCTTAGTGGGAAGACATGTCCCTCCCCATGCAGCCCTGCCCACTCCCTGCTCAGCCTTCATCCCGGGCTGATCACCAGACTGAACGCTCATCTCAGGTAAGCGGTGATCAGCCAAGAACCCAAGAGCACATCTCCTAAAATCAAACATCTCTCAGCTGGAAAAGCAGAAACACAGACGCTCTCCTAAGGAACGTGTGCTGGAGAAAGAGGCCAGGGGGACAGGTTCAGAAGGAGGAGCAGCTGCGCGAGGTGTGCAGAGGGTCCAGGGCAAGAGGCAGGCCTGCAGAGAGGAGCTAAGGAGAGAGCAGGTGTTAAACGGTGGAGTGGGGGTGCTGGTTACATGTGTGTGGACTCAGGCAGGGCCTTGGGGGGCCCCTCCTCAGTGTTGTCGGCTAGCAGAAAGGAGTCCACGGACTTGCTGCTGAGGCGGAAGGGTGCCAGGCGGTGGAAGTGTCCCGGAGAGCAGGGGATCTGCACACGGGCCCTCTGGGAGGGCACCACAGTCTCCCCAGGAGACAGCCAGGGCGGCACCCTAGTGAGGATGCTTAGGTCTTCGTCCGGGGAGAACACGGGGTTGTCAATTCCTAGGAGAGAGGCAGCGGCTGATCAGCGTCCTGGGTCCCCCCTTCAAGATGGCAGAGAGGGAGGGTGCTGCCTGGGGGCCAGACACCAGCCTGTCCTGCAGCCACCACCTGCCAGGTCACCTGGAAGGTCAGGGTCACATGCCTTTGGGGGTCAGGCCTTGCTCCACACGGCACAGGTAACAGCTCCCTTTTCCTGCAGCAGAGGCCCCTGTCGACCACCTGCAGCCTGTGGGCCAGCCGGGGACTGCCCCACCCTCACCTGAGGGGGAGTCTGTGGCTGCGTCCTGCGTGACGTGCGCCAGGAACTCTATCCCCCCACTCATCTCCTCAGCGTCGTGGTCTGGGGCTGCCTCGGTGTCGGAAAGTTCCATATCTGGTGTCAAAAGGCAGGAGCAGCGTGAGGGAAACGGTCTGTGGGCCGGACAGGCCTAGTCCGACACTGGTGACCAGCACCTTGACCAGCATGCACCCTGAGGGCTGTCATCGCTGCTACCCCAACCCAGCCGCGCCTGGGCACTTGGTGGGAGGCAGTTCCCAGACTGTCATGCAGGTGGGGGTGGGGCGGGGGCGGCAGGGCCTGCTCCCCAGCTGCACCTGGCCTTTTTGAGGAGGGGGGCATCCTGGACAAGAGGAGGCTGGAGCCACAGGGCCAGAAGGGCAAGGGCCTGAGGAGGAGCCCTGCTTGGAGGGGTACTTGTGGCTCAAACACAGGTGGGGACGAGGAGCCCCCCTCAAGGGCACCGCCTTCCAGAGGCTGTGGCCCTGCAGTCCCAGCCCCCACCAAGGTAGGACAGGCCGGGCAGCAGCCTGCAGAGGGTCCTGGGAGCCAGGGGAAGGGTCTCCCTGGAAGGACAGCCCTCTGCACCTGCCCCTTCACAGGTCCCCAGCCCCTCCCGGCCAGCATCTCTGCCACGGCCCTGGCAGTACCTTTCTCCTTAATCGTGAAACTGTGTACCGAGCTCTCCATCGGCAGTTTTCCATTGGGAATGCTGCTGTTCCTCTGGGAAGCGAAGGAGGCCACTTAACACCCGGGCAGCAGGGGGTCCCCACTGCCCAACTGCACCTGCGGCCCAGGCCGCCCCAAAGGCTGCGCTACCCGCTTCTGTGCACGCTCCCTCTTATACAGCTTGGCAGCCTTCTTGTTCTGGTTGATGCCCAGCTTGGTGGACTTGAAAGACTCCAGGCGCTTCCGCATGGTCCGGTGGAAGATCTCCTTGTCCTGCTTCTCGTCCTCGGTGGGTGTCAGCTCGTGCCGGCTGTACAGGTGCTTGTACTGGGGGAGTCGAGAGCCACAGCTGCAGGCGCCCGCGTGGCTGGGCACTGGGGTATCCCCAAGCCCAGCACTCCCGGCCCAGCCCGCCTCCTCTAGGCCGGAGGCCGGGTGCCCACCTCCTGCCGGGGCTTGTACAGGTACTGCTGCAGCGTGTGGTGCGTCACCATGTCCTCCGTGTCGCGGATGCTCCTCCTCCTCTGCTCCAGGGACTGCATGTCCAGGCACACGGCACTGACATTCTCCCGCCTGCACAGGGACCCTCTGAGCGGGCAGCGCCCTCCTGCCCCATGCCCCATGCCCCGCAGGCTTGTCCTGGGCTCCTCCCACGGAGGTGTAGTCAGACTAGCCCCCGCAAGGCCTACCTGCCTCCTACTCAGGGTCCCCACTCCCCAGGGCCACCCCTTTCCCCCCAAGGCCTGGCGTGAGCCTCGCCTCCCAGCAGCTGTCCGCCAGCTGACAAACCCAGGGCAGCCCCCACTGGCCACTGGCCCACCGCACAGCAGAGGCAGGGGTCACACAGGCCAGGGCCAGGACACAGCGTGGCCTCTGGTCCCACACCTGTTTCCCCGACTTGTTGTCCAGCCCTGCCTCCCTGTGTGTTGCCTGTGTCAGTGAGAACTCGAGCTTGCTGACTGGCTAAGGAAGGGATTTGTCTGGGCAGGTCACCGCCCATTTCCACACCCCTCCCTGCACACCGCCATTCCCAAGCCCAGGCCTACAGCCTCTGCTCCCCCATTCACAATCAGTTGCCCCTAGATGCTCAGTGACTGGCATCTGCCCAGAGGGAACCATGTCAGAGGGTCTGGGGAAGCGCTGGTCAAGGAAGAATCCTGCCCTCGGCCCTGGCTGTGGTCAGAAGCAGCCAGGCGGGGCTGGCCTCCTGAAGGGAGCAGTGGGGACTTGCTCACGTACAGGAAGTAGGAAACAGAGGCCTCCACGGTTGAAGGGCGTGGTGTGCTGAAGTCCACGTTGACCATGTTGTCGGTGCTTGGAGAGCGAATGAAGGCCAGGGACCCCCGGCGCTCTCCCTGTGGTGGGAGAGACGACCCGTGTCAGCCGGCAGAGGGCCCTCAGCCGCGGCGGGAGCGGGAGCTGGGGGGCCACGGGGTGCTGTTCACCGGATCCAGCAGCCCCCAGCCACTGCCGAGCGGAGGTTCCAGAGGCCACACCCAGGGCTTGCCTGAGCCAGGCGGTCAGCAGGCTGTTACGTCCAGGAGGAAAGTCAAGACAGCTGTGTGTGCAAACACGGTACCTCCCTGGGCACCTGGGCGAGTGTCAGAGAGGCACTGTGACCCCAGGGAGCTCCCAGCCCGCTCCATGGCTGGGCATGCAGGCATGTGGCAGGGGCCATTAGGGGGCACAGGGGTGACCCCTTGGGGAGGGTGGCAGGGTCGGGACTTCACCTGTGAGGGTCCTGTATGCGCTGAGGACACTCTGTGGGGGGGCAGCTCGGAGAGGGGAGGCTGAAGCCCTGTTGAAGGCTGCATCACCCACATCGGGGTATGGGGACTGTGGGGGCACCCAGGGAGGGAGTACTGGGCCAGCAGAGTGGGTCATGGCCAGTGAACACTGCCTCATGGCACCCCCAGAGATCCTTGCCCTCCCACCACCTCTGAACCATGAAGGCGGCTTGGTGTCAGCAGGGACTTGTGCACTGGACCAACTGTGCCTGGCTTAGGGGTGCAGACGACAGTCCTTCCACTCCGACCACGGCCACACAGGCGGCCTCAGCCCTGCCAGAGCAGGTGGAGCAACTGTGGGGCGGCAGGCTCAGTGGACGGCTTAGGGGCCCTCCGCCTCCTCATCTCCTCTGCCAGGAAGCACCTCTCCCCGTTGGAGCGACCCCAACAGTGTGGGTCGTATTGGGCCTGGATGCACCCCAGGAGAACCATTTGCCCTTGGACAGACAGCACTCTGCTCCAAGCTCTGTGTGAGGCCCAAGGGGTTTGCTGAGACACCCCATCCCTCTACATGGAGTGCAGATGTCAGCTGGCTCAGGAAGGGTCAAGAGGAACACAGGGACCCCTAGTTTCAGACGTTCGGGAAAGGTGGAGTCCTAGCTGGGCTTGTCCCCACACTTTGCGGCTCCCTGTGGTCGGGCTGCCTGGGCAGAGCCCACCTGGCAGCTGCCAAGTGACCTTGCCACTCTGGGGGCCACCTGGATGGGCAGTTGTCATCTCAGGTCACATTTAGGGGCGTGTGTGCAGCGTGGACATGTGAGCACATGCATGTGGGTGTCTATGGCCCCTCGATCACCCGCCTGGCCTCAGACCCCAGACCCACCAGCAGCATATCATGTTCTGAGAGGCATGGGAGAGGGTTCTGTTTCCCGTGAGCGGTGCAGCTGTGACATGGCCTCCTCTCAGCATGTAAAAAGACCCAGGAGCCTCACGTGAACGTGGGGGTGGCTTGGTGACCCCACACACACACAGCAGCCTTGGCTGCAGGTGGATCCCTAGACCCCATGTCTGTCCACATGCCATGTCTGTGGCTCACTGTAGCCCCTGACACTAACAGAGAGAACATGGAACGCTCTGGCACCTCAGCCACATAGCTGATGGCATCCTTCAAGTTGAGCTCGTGGAAAACATTCAGAATCCGGTCTCGTGACTTCTGGGCTGACCTTCTCATGAGGATTTTGCTGAGGAATTTCCTATCAAAATTGGACCACCTGGGGGTCAAAGCAACATGGGGTCAGCACTCAGGCAGGCAGTGAGCAGGCTGGGCCTGGCTACACCTGGGGACGGGGCTGGGCTCCCACTCCATCCCCCAGACTGAAGATGGACAAGGTCTCCTGGGAGCTGGGCCAGGCATAGCAGACTCTCTCCCTCTTATTTTTATTTACCAAAATGATGACAAGGTGAGTTTTAAAATAAAAAATAAACCTCCACCATGCCAATTCCACCATCCTGTACTTGGTTCCTACCTCCCTGACCTGGGCAGTTGTCATCAGAATGGACATGAAATTGGGACTTGTTCTCTCATTTAATGGGATACGGCAAACAGCTTCCCCCGTGACCATCCAACCCTCCAGTCGCATGGGCTGAGGCCTGGTGGGGCCATGGGGCTCTGGCTGCAGTGAGGGGGCACCTCTACCTACATGAGGGACGGGTCAGGGAGGAGACCCCTGAGCTCACACACACAATCAGGCTGGCCAGGAGGTTGAGTCCAGCACAGAACATCGACCAGTTACTCAGGCAGAGGAGGAGGTGGCCAGGCCAGATGTGAGGAGCGTCCAGATGAAGCCCAGTGAGCTGAACTCAGGGCAGGGAATGCCCAGGGGAGGAGGGGCTCCAGGGGGCAAGAGGAGCCTCAAGGGCGGAGTAGGCTGCAAGGGGAGAGGGCTACAGTGGGGGAGGAAGAGGCTGCAGGGGAGAGGGGGACACACTTTGGGGGTGGCCTTCTCAGCCCTCAGAGCAGCACTGCCCCATGTGAGCTTAGCTTATGGGTCACGTCATGGTCTGTCTGACCCTGGGAGAATCCCACAGTCCTTGGTTAGAGGAGGACGAGGAGCTGACAGCTGGGACAGACGTGTGTCTGAGTTCCCCACTCAGGCCGTCCTGGCGCTGGGCCCACTTACTTGTCTCTGAGGTAATTGTGTCCAATTTGCCCAGATATGTCCTCAATGGCCGAGAGGATGTGGTCAAAAGCCTGTGGGGGACAGCCGAGTGGGGATGGGTTAGTGTCACCTGGCCTTTGTCCCCCTTCCCCAGCCCGGCCCTCCTCTCTACCCCCCACCAGCCCTCCTCCCCCACAGACCTGCCCCCAGGCCCCCCAGCACCCCCTACCCTGCTGTGCAACTTCTCGTTGAGCTTCGGCTCCCGGTGTTCACTCCTCTTCACCTTTAGCCACTGCACCAGGGGCTTGATGGTCAGGCCCTGGGAGGGGGGATGTGCTGACCCCGAGGGCTGGGGCAGGCCCACCCCATACCCTACTCTGGCCCGTGAGCTCTGAGTGAACCAGACAGGTGCACCTGGCTGCCCTACCCCAGGGATGGCTTCTGTGCTGGACTCCAGCCAGAGGGCACCGCTGGGCATGTGCACACCCTGAGGGCCCAGCCCAGCTCCGCAGATTCGCCAAAAGCAGGCGAAGGGGTGCCTTCCCAGCCGTCTGTCCGTGAGACGTTCCCTGGGGTCTTGTTGAGCAGCCATGCTGAACAAGGACAATTTTAGGCCTAAGTGTGCTGCATCCCCTGTGGGGCCCCATGAAACCTACATAACGGCTCCTAGTTACTAAAATTGTAAAACCCAATTAGGGCCTGGAGCCTGGGAAAGCTTGGCATGGAGCGCTGTGACGGCGGCAGGCCAGGCCGGTGGAGAGCGGGGCCCGCACGCTACCTGGAAGATGACAGTGAAGAAGACCACGATGATGGTGGTGCTGACGAACAGGTTCTTCTCCTTGACCTTCTCCTCGTCCAGGAGGACCACCAGGGCGAAGGCCACAGCCCCGCGCAGGCCGCCATAGGACATGACCACCTGGTCTATGATCTCCAGCTGCACCATCCGGTACCGGTTCAGAACCCAGGTCTGCAAGACAACACCTGCGGGCGCAGGGCACGCTCAGCTCTGATGGCTGCCCGCCGCCTCCTGCGCACCTTCTGGGGGGCATGGGACCACGGCCCTCCCCGCCCTTCCTGGCAGCAGTGTCTGGGAATCCCCCAGGCCGGCAACAGCAACAGGTTACGCCCCAAGCACAGAATCACAGAAACTCCATCTTGCAGCCACACTCATCCACAGCCCCTGCCTCCCACAGCCACACTGCACCCTCTCTCGGCCAGTCAGAGCTGCCCCTGTGGGCACCCTGGGCATCCCAGTCTGGCCAGCGGCTCAGCAAACTCTCAGGCTTCCACGTGGCCATTGTACCTCAGACAGCTGCAGGGCCGATCACCACTGCCTGTCTGAGCATCTGCTCCCCCACCCCCACCCCAGCAGCAGGCCACTGGGAGACTAAATGGGTTCCCTGGGGTCCAAAACCTTCCAACTGACCCCAGCTGTCCTACCTCAAGCTCAGAGCAAAGAGGCCATGAGGAGGCCTGATTTCCCTGAGGGTGGCGAGCTGCTGGGCTGGGTCCCCAGGGGCTCCTGGGCCTGCCATTCCCTGGGCAGGGGGCTCCCTGCAAGGTGCTACTGCCTCCACCACACCCTGCTTCCCATGGCCACCCTGTAGCAAGTTCCCATTGTTTGCGCCATCCCTGCCATCGGCCCGCCCCAGTCCCCATGGTCCTGCTTGGCACCCTCACCAATGGCCCTGTACACAGAGATGAAGACCAGGGTCAGGAGCACGAAGGCCGTGTTCCACTTCCAGATGAGGGGGTCCACGGCCGAGATGCCCAGGAACATGAAGATGATGGTCTCGGCCCCGCTGGCCAACATCTTCATGGTGTAGCGCACAGTGGTGGCTGACTGCTCGGAGATGTTGGCTTTCACGTACTTCTGGCAGCAGATCCCGCAGAAAGTGATGCTGGGGGTGGGCACACCATGAGGCGGGGGGGGGCCTCTGGGTCCCGGGCAGACCCCCACCCCTCGGCCAGCCCTTCCCTGAGCTGGGGCACCTGCTGAGGCTCTGTGCCGTGAGCTGGCACATGCCTATCCTCACAGCCACTGAGCCCCAAGCACAGCAGCTGCGTCAGTTGGCAGCTCTGGGGGCCAGGGGCAGATTCCAGGCCCAGGTCGGCGGCCTCCCCCTTGCGGCACTCGAGAGGGGCTGCCCAGGGCAGGCACTGCAGCTCCGCTCATTCTGTGGAAACGCCTACCCCTTACTGAAAACCCAAATAGATCAAATTCTTCACCCCCACAGTGAACTTCCAGCCCTGTGGGGAAGCAGGCCAGGCGGATGGCAAAAGCTGAGGATGGCTGCAGGGGAGTCGGGCTGTGTGTGGGCCGGCTGGGGCTCGCACTCTGGGGGGCACTCACGCCAGGATGGCCGACAGGGACAGCATCTCAGAGGTGAGGTAGGACAGGTAGGAGAGGACAAAGACAAAGCCGGGCTCGATGATGCGCACGTGCTTGGTGTAGCGGGTCACCAGCGAGAGCAGGAAGGCGAAGATGACACCCACCAGCGTGCCCCCCAGGCTCACCACGAAGAAGGACACTGTGGGCAGGGACGCTGGCCTGAGCCCCTGAATGGCTCCTTGTGGCCGGGCCCCCGCAGTTGCCTGGTGACCCCCATAAAGGCGCCTGAGGCTCAGCAAACAAGAGGCTGATTCTCCTCTTGCACCAGCCCCGATGTGGAAGTGGGGGCGGGGGTGGTCCTGCCACGGGAGCCAGGCCCCCAGGGACAGCTGAGGTCTCTGTCCCCGCCCAGAGGAGTGCCCAGCCCTCCCGGGGCACCAGGACCACACCCTCCGACCAGACATCCTGTGGGTCTAACGGGGAAATGACCCTCACCAGCCGGGGACCTTAGGACCCAGGACAGGAGGGCCGGTCATGGAGACCCTTAGGGGGAGACACCTTTTCCTACATTGCTGTAGGTCTCAGGGCAGGCCAGCTGCCAAGGTTCCGCTCAACAGCGATGCTGCCCAGCAGTGGTCCACCTGCTATGAGGAAGTTCCACCCGCACCACTCTACACACAGCCCCGCCAGTCACACACCTATGCCTTTCACGCAGTCCACACCAGTCACCTTGTCACCGCCCAGTGTCACGAAAGATTCAAACACATTGTACAGCACCTGGGGAGACAGAGGCAAACACGTCATCAGGTCAGCGCTGGGTCAGCGCTGACCCCTCCCGACCTTGAGTCCAGGCTTTGTGGACTCAGTGCTAGAGTAAGGAGCCCACAGCAGCCATCAGGACACCAAAAACCCCTGGGAGGAGAACCATCTCAGGGTAAAAGTGGTTGACAGGAGGGAGGCCAGAGACTGCTAGCAGGGTTTCTATGAGAGGAAAAGGATGGCAAGTTCTGGAAAGACCTGGAAACTTCTGGAGCAAACCTGGCCCTTGCCTACCTGCAGCAACGCGAGGCAGCCACAGAGCCAGCCCACTGTGTTCAGCTCTCAATTTCAAAGTTCCACTGTCAGTGGCCTTGCTGTTCTGTTCACCCATGTGGCTGCCACCCCTGCATCTCCATGCTGATGTGTAACCCTTATCCCGCCAGAACCTTGAGATAAAAAGCCCAGAAACCTCATGCTGGGCCACAGTTGTGGAGACGCTGTTTTCCAAGCCCAAGCTCTCTTAAAGGGCTGGGGCTCCACGCAGAGGAGCCCAAGGGGCTGCCCCCGGTGGGCCTGTCTGTGCCCCTAGTCTGCACTCCCTGGCCTGTTCCCAGAAACAGAGGGCCCCCAGGGCTGGGTGTGAAGCCATCCTCCAAAGGAGGTGCACAGGTCATGGGGACTGTGGCACAGGCCATGAACGTCATTAAGCTCAGCTGGCTTCCCTGTGGCAATGTGGGTGGGAAGGGAGATGTGAGCAAGAACCCATGGGCTTGGCAGAAGTGGGTACAAAGGCCATAATACAGGACAGCTGCAGCCTGGAAGGAGCTACCTGCCACGTTTCCGATTTAGTCTCCAATTAATTCTCGATTTCCCCCAAGAATATCTTATCTGCCACATAGGAAATCTGGTGCAATACACTCTCTAAACCCTGAAGGAACATGAGAAAAGGAATTTGTTAAAGAGGCCATGGGTCCCACAAGAGCCCAGGAGCTTCATGTCTCACTGTCTGCAAATCCATGGGGCAAGGCGGTGGACGGCGGGGCTGTGCACAGGCCAGGTGCACAGACATCCCCTTGGCTGACCTGTAGGGAGGTCTGCATGCCCCCACCATGCCTAGAGATTTACTTCCACGGATGGAGTGGCCTGATTTGGGGGTGGACATCAAACATTTCGTGTCATCTGTCGAGACAGCACCCTCAGTTTCATGAATGTCCCACTTGCTCTGTGTAGAGCTGGTGTGGCCTCGCATCCTGGGGGCGGTCCTGCAGCCCCTGCCCCCAGGCCCTGCCAGCTACTGAGACACCACCTCTGATGGGTCACCACCACAAGCAGACCAGCTCCAGCTCTCTGTCCTTTAATCTGGGGAGACTGCTCCTTTACTGGTTCTCTTAGGGCAATCAGGACTGAGACTGCAGCTGTGCACCTAAAGCTAAGGCCCCCGCTCTGCGCAACCATGGGCTCAGCAGTGTGACCAGTGTGGGTGCACGAGGAACAGCTGACGACATCTAGTTGAACAAGCCAGGACTGCAGGACAGCCAGGAGTGGCCAGTGGTAGGGGCCAGGCCTCCAGCGTCGGAGGGACCAGTCCGTGACAGGGTCACCTGGGCCCGGTGGGCATTTTTCACACGACCTTCCCGCCCCCAGTGGTGCTGAGACACTGGGCAGGCCCCAGACTCACCACTGTGACAGCATCATTCAGCAGCGACTCCCCAAAGACTATGATGAACAGAACCTCATTGACGTGGACCTCCTCAAACACAGCCAGGACGGCCACTGGGTCCACAGCGGCAATCAGGCTGCCGAACAGCAGGAAGTCCAGCAGCCCGACTTTTAGGTCGCCTGTGAGACAAGCAGAGCTGTGGTGGGATGGCCTTGGGGACCGGCAGCCTGGGGGGCTGGGCCGGCCTCCACGCATCCTTTGTGGGCGCTGTTGCAGGCAGCAGGCCTGGGGACTGATGGGCTGGGAGCCCCCGGGTGGGGACCCTGGTTCTCCTCTGTCTGGGGCTGGCTCATAGGGACCTGGGTCAGGCTGCCTGCCCTTCACGTTGGTTCCCCCCCAGTAGGGAGTCCTGGCCTGTCTGCAGGGGACTGAGCCCCCCGGCTCTCTTCTTTGTCCCCCTAGACCTGTCTTCTCCTGGCTGGCCCACTAGGGAGCCCGCTGCACATGGATGAGGGGCCTGGCGGCCTGGCCATGTACAGCATAGAATCAGACGCAGATGGGGCAACCTGGTGCAGAAGATAGTGCACATGCTGGGAAGTAATGGGGTAGCGCAGGCAGCTGCCCTGAAGCCATCTCAACCCAGACAGGGGCAACCAGGCCCCGCCTGATGGGAGGGGAGGGGACAGGCCTGCCTCCTTGGGCCCAGTGCCCCTGCCCAGTGGGTCTCAGCCCCCCAGGGGAGGTGTCACTGGATATGCACCTTCACCCTCCGAAATCCTTCCAGATTTATCTGAGGTTCCAGATCCCATAGGCCATGTGCAGATCCCGTTTCCCACTGATGGTCTCCCAGGGACACCTGGCCAGCCTGGTGTCACACCTGCTCTCAGCTGGGCTTGGTGGGGGAGGACCTTGCTCAGGGGCTTGGGGGCCTGTCTTGCCTTGAGGGAGAGGCCCACCGAGGGAGGGGGAGGCAGGCCTGGATGCAGCTCCCACAGAAGCCCCGCTCCCCCTCAGGGCTCGCCACGTGGGCAGGATCCCTGGGAGAAGCTTTCCTGCAGGGGAATGTGCCCCCGAGGGAGTTTCCTGTGAGCCTCACGCCTGCAGCCTGGCGCCAGGGCCCCAAGTGGTCAAAGAGACAGTTTCCAATGAGTTCGAAATGCCCCTGCCATTTTAAACCCATGGGACACAGGTTTTGCTCTTCCACCCTAATGCTGCTTGTTGGTGAAGTAGATGGGAGCTCACGCTCCTTCCTGGACCTAGATACCATGGTCCCAGATACACAGTCACCTTGGAAGTTAACCTTTGCAAGCCTCCTGCATGTCGGCCTCTCATGCCTGAGGACCCTGCAGACCCAGTGGTACATTCCAGGAGACAGCTACTCTGAGCAGGGGACGGCCCAGGGCCAGGAGCAGTCTGCCCTCTCCCCTGGCAGGAGAGTCCACCAACAGCTGGAACTGGAGGTGGGCTCATGGCCGCCAGGACCCTCTGCACCTCAGACAACACCCTCAGCCTCCCCCACCTGAGGGGGCTTCTCCAGCCCTGGAGCTTCTGTAGGGCCTGTTCCCGGGGGGCTCACCTTGGAGGGGTGCACCTGGCCTTGACTTTACCTCAGAGCCGAGCTGCTGGCCCGCACAGACCAGTCCCTGGCCTCCTCAGCTCCCAGCTCCAGGTGTCTGAAGCCAGGACAGACCCAGTGCCCCCTGGGAGCAACTCTGCTCTATGACAGCTGATGTCTGGCCCTGACCAGCTGAGTTCTGGGGGCTGCAGCCCCTCAAGGGGCAGGAGTCCTTGTTCTGAAATCCGAGACTTTCCCTTAGAGTTACCTTAGGCATGTCCCAACTACTAAAGGCATCTCCGGTGAATGTAATCCTGAATCCTGCAGCTTACACATGTGTAAGGCTGCCAGGCCGCCTTCAGTGGGCTTCTCTGGGTGGTGCCTGGTGGCGCTGGATGGCAGCAGGGCCTCAAGGCATCAGCCATGCTCCCCAGGGGGAAAGGTCAAAGGTGACATGTGCCAGGTGGGGTGGCTATGCCCGGTGGGGACTTTGGCCCCTCTTTCTCAATGTGCTTCCTTCATCTTTAAGATTTCAAGGCCCTGATCCACACAGTGAGGGCTGTGGAAGGCTCTTCCTCCAGTCAGATGGAAAATGGCCCATTCGGCCATCCCTGTGAGGCTGGCTCCTCGGGGCGAGTGTCTGGGGCTGAGGCTGAGTGTGGGAAGGTGTCCCCTCCCTGGTCATGCCCGATGGCGGAGTTAAAGCCACAGCCCCAGGAGGCAGCACACAGCTCCTCCTGAGGCCCCAGGCAAGCCCCTGGCCCCAGCACCCAGTTTCCCAGGTAGATAATGACTGGTCCCAGGTGGGTGGGGTGCCCTGGGAGATATGCCAGGAGGAAATAAGTAACCCAAACTTGGGAAATACTGGCAAGGGAGGCACTGCAGACTCACATGCTGGGGAAGAGGCCCCACGGCTTCTCCTCACGGGTTTGAGTACAATGCTCTGCTCAGGTGCATGTCTGCCTGGCTCCATGACCTGGCCCCTGCCAGAGGGGCCTTCTTTCCCTGGGGGTTTGGTGGCAAGGGACAGAGGCCAACCCCACCTCCCTGGCGGGCCAGCCAGGACCTCATTCCCAAGCAGGACACCTGCCTCGGACTGGGGACACCTGGCTACTGGTGAACTAAACCTTATTCCAAACATTCCAGGAGGGTTCAGCGGGCCACTCTATTTAACCCTTTTGGGTCCATAGTCTGCATCCTGGGCTTCCTTAAGTGGAGCTGCTGGGAGCCTGCCCCTCCGGGCCAACCTCCATGGTGCCCGCCCAGGGAGGCCTAGGGGATAGTGGCGCCCACTCACCCATCAGGCCACTGAGGAAGATGCCGTAGAGGGACAAGCCAGTGGTGGCTGCGTTCCACACGGTGCCGATGACGGCGTATAGCAAGATGGTGCCCAGGTTGCCGAAGAAGAGCCGGTTGGGCATGAAATAGCCGGCGTCCAGCACGATGGGCGGCAGCAGGTAGAAGAAGAATACGGTGGGTGTGAGGGTGAAGGAGGCGCTGTGGTTGGCCGCCCAGACGACGCCGCCCAGCAGCAGGCCCAGCACGATGAGCAGAGCGCTCTCGGGGACCACGCTGGTGACCTTGTGGGACAGGTGGAAGCCTGCAGGGGACCGAGGGGTCAGTAGGCTGTTGGCCTGGGGTGGCCAGGCACAGAACTTCAGGGCAGGGAGAAGGGTGTCAGGGACCCGACACCATGCCCAGCGAGGCTCTGGTGGCAGTGGCCCAGCCAGGTGGCCCCACCTGCATGGACATGGTGGTGGAGGCCCTGGGCCCCCCAAAGCTGGCAGGCTGTGGGTGCTGAGGCTGAGGCTCCCTGCTCCCTGGGCAAGACTGGGCTCTGCCAGCAAGCAGGTGACCTGCCTGCTGGGCTTCCCTGTTCACAAGTGGGAGGGGGCTGCCAGCCACCGCCTCAGGGGGTTCCCCTGGCAGCACTGAGGGCACAGAGGCCAGGCCCCGCTGGATCAGATGGGCCAGGAAGCCAGGCCTACGTGGATGCCTGCCGGCCATGCAGACCACTGCCCCCTTGACCTGGCCCAGAAACACCCCCTCAGAGGTCTCCTCACCTCCAGCCAAGGCCCCCATGGTGGAGGACGATGGGCCGCACTGGGAGGGCAGAGCACAGGGCCCCAAGCCCCATGTGGCCCATGCTGTTCCTCGCCCCTCCAGTGGCCAAGGCACAGCACCACCCCACCTCATTCTGCCCGGCCATGCTCGCTCCCTGCCTGCAGCCCAGATGCACTCTGATCTCCCTCTGCCCGACTCTGCTGGGCTTGTGGTAGGTACCCCAGGAACAGAGCCTAATAAACGAGGGTCTCCAGGGCTCCCCGACAGGCACTGGCTCTTCTGCACACACTGAGACTTGCAGATGCAGGAGGCCCCAGCGGTCCCCCCACTGACGGCTGCCTCAGCCCCCTGGCCCACCACACTTGGAGGACCTAGGCATGGAGGCCCTGCCCCTGAGCCTGGGCCCCATCTCCGCCCCACAGACCTAGTGGGGCCCCTTCTCCCTTGTTCTAGTTTAAGACTCAGGAGAAAGGGCCCCAATGCCTTCCAAGCCTGATTGCAAAGTTGGGAGTGTTGACAGGAGGCTGGATGCCTGCGGCCTGAACCAGTTTGGGATGATCACCTTTCCGACCTCAGAGTCCTGCTCACTAAGGGGTCTGAAGTCACAGGAGGGCCCCTGCTGAGGTGCCCAGGCCCCACGCACACCCTGCCTCCAGGCAGGGCAGGAGTGCAGCGGGGGGCCCAGTACACAGTGGTTGGGGCTGACCTGCAACCCCTCCTTGGGGGGTGGGAGGGTAGGCTGACACCTGCCTCCCTGCTGGGCCTGCTGGCCTGGGGGTGCTGTGTGCTGGCTCTCGAGGGGCCCTGAAGGAGGCTCCATGTCGTGGTCATTCTTTGCCCAGGGACTGTTCTCTCCAAGTTTGGTTGAGAAGCCGCAGGACAGCCTCCCTGACCAGGTCGCCTGCACAGGGCCCACTCTGAGCCTGGTGTGGCATCAGCATGCAGGGCAGAGGCAGAAGGGGTGGATGCTTCTGGGATCCGAGGGCCCACCGGCCCCCACCCCCGGCTGCTGGCTGCACATCTTGCATTCCCATCACAGTTCCGATTTTCTCAGGAAGTTTTCTCACGTTAGGTGGAACGTCATCTCTGCTCCCCGAGTGGGGCCTCCAGGAGGCTGATGGACGGAGGCCCACCCGGTGGGGAGGCATGACTGGGGATCATCCAGCCACCCTGGGGCTCACGTGACAAACGGCACTAGAGGGTGGCTGCCAGCCAGAATGAGGGAGGCTGTCTCTGAACATGGGCCTGTCCCCTGGGAGTCCCCAGGGCTCGTCAGCAGGAAAGCACCCGGAGGGCTTGCCCTGCTGAGGTCTACAGGCTCGTGTCCCCCTGGGGTGCACCCCAAGCTTGAAGGGGCTGTGTTGGGGGAAGAAGGGGCAAGCATGCAGCACCCCCACCCTGCTCTGCACACACACGGCAGCACCCGAGAGCCCCCAGATCCGGGGTGTCAGGGCTGGCAGCCTGCAAGGGCGGAAAAAGATGCACATCTGCATGTGACGTGGGGCCCCCAGGCTGAGGAAGGGGACCTGCAGGCCATGCCCCCCGGCTCACAGCCCATTAGCAGAGCACAGTGCAGCCCTGGAGCCCTGCAGGTCCCGGGCCAGCCCAGGAATCTGCAACCAGCCAGCCCTGAAGGCCCCTCAGGAGCCAGACTGCAGGGCCCTCCTGGGGTCCCTGCACCCCACCTAAGTGATGTCACAGAAGGCCTGTGGCACATGACCCTGCCCCTGCTGCTCCCCATGGCACTGCCCTTGGGGTAGTGGCTGACCCCCCACATCTCTGTTCTGGGGGGTCATCAGCAAGGGTGCCCTTTTCTCTGGGGTGGACACAGTGTCCTCTCCTGCCCCCAGGAATTCCCAGCTAGCCCTAAGCAAGCTGTGCAGGGCCACCCCTCCCGGGGACTCCACTCCCTATGCTGTTTCCTACAACATGTGCGTTTTCTGTGTTTCTTGGAGTCCCACCCAGGGTCCCTCTGTGATGCCTGTTCTGGTCATGTAACAGCGCTTGCCCAGGGAAGCTCGCAGACGTGGGGTGCACGCTGCCTGGGGGTCTCTTGGGAGACAGAACCACTGACCAAAGGCAGTGTATCCTCTGAGGTGAGCACTGCAGGTCACAGGGCCCAGGTCAGGCTCCAGAGCCCTGGGTGGCCTCCAAACTCCAGAAGGGCTCTTGCTGAGGGCTGGCCCAGTGCTGGCTAGCCCAGTGGGGCCAGATGCTCAGTACTTCCTACAGTCCCTCCCCAAATTAGCACTTTGCCACAGCCCCCATCATTGTGAATTCAGCTTTGACGGCTGTGGGGCTAGCGGGCCAAAGGGGCCTGGGAACAGGCTTATCTCTGAAAAGAGCAGCAACTCTGCACTCAGGGACCCCAACTGCGCGGACGCATACCTAGCTGTCTGCGAATCCTCTACAGCAGCTGGTTCCTAGGCAATCTTACTAATTTAGAACACGGTGGATAAGGCAGTCGCTGACTTCAGACCACATGCTCTTGCTCACAGCAAGGCCTGAAAATCCACAGAAAAAGTATTTCAACTTGTCACTAAGAAGGAAACATGTGCGTGTGTGCGTGTGGCTCAGCACAGATTCCCAGGCTCTGCCCATCACAAGTACCTCTGTGAAGGGTGGGAGCATGTGCACTTGGAAGCTGAGGAATGGCACACCTGCCCCTGGGGCACACCTGGCCCCCGTCTGAGGCACGGGTGCAACTGCATCTCCTGGAAGAGCCCGTCCAGCTTCCTCCCGGCTGAGTGAGGCTTGGGCATCTTTTCCTGTCCCTTCTGTGAACCACCGCAGGTGCCCTTCTTCACCAGGTTATCAAGCCCTTACTTCTCGACATGTAGCTCCTCACAAGTATTTCCTGTTCTTTATGTGGTTTTGCTATGTGCAAACACCTATTTATCACATTTATTGGTTGTTTGTTTTGTGGCTTCTGAGCTTTGTGTTTTGTTAAAGAAGCCATTCCTAATTCTTTTCTACCAAACGTTAACACTCAGTTTAATTCACTTGAATTTCACTGAATTCATAATGAAGAAAACATTTTAAAATAGTCGTGAAACTGAAGGGCCTGACCACTCCCAGAGAGAGTCCCCCAACAAGGGGTCCACTCCCAAAGCCCCTCGGGTCTGGGCATCTTGGCTGCTGTCCAAGCGCCCCCTTGCTGGGCTGTGGCACCTTACCCTTGGGCAGCACCTGTCCATCTCTTCTCTCTGCCATCTCGCTGCACAGATGTCTGCAGGGACCCAGAGTGCATGTTCCAGCCTCAGGCTCGCCAGCCTCAGGTGCCACACAGGCTGCGGCCCACAGCCCAGAGTGGGGCCTGGAGGGAGGGGGCCACGCCAGCCTGCCCTCGCGCACTTGCATCAGCGCACAGGGCTCCACTTCCTCAGTTGTTTCAGGTCTGGTTGTGGGAAGGCTGTTTCGTTCCTGAGCATGCCCTGCAGCCAGGGCCCATCTCCACACCCCCTCCTTTCCCTGACAAGGGGTTCTTGCACCCTGGCCCTCCTCCATTTCCACTCCCTTGCGCCCCATAGTGCCCACTGCCCACCGACACCAGCTTGGCTGTTTTTCTCCGAGTGTGCATCAGCAGCTGAGATCCACTGTGGCTCACGCAGTGCCCAGGGGGTGCCAGGCTCACAGTTCCCAGGCAGCATGCAGCATCCCGTGGGCTTGACTCCCATGACGGGGCACCTGGCACAGGCATGCCCAGGCCCACCCACGCATGCGGGGAGTCATGCTCGCTTGGAGGTGGCGCTCTACCCCCCACTCCCCGGCCCACGGCTCTCCCCACTTCGGCCGCCTCCTGCTCACCTGGCACCGCCCTCCTCTGAGTCCTAGAACCCTCACAGGCCTTTCTGTCCCACCAGCAATGGGCTCTGGACAAGCCCATGCACTGTTTCCAGCTCCTTCCTCGGGCCTGACATTTGTGTTGGCCTCTCACCCACCTCCTCAGCACTGGAACCCTCCTCTGTCTCCGCCTCACTGTCCCCGCTCCAGCTTATTTCCCTGGGCTGTATGCCAACTCCCTTCTGCAAGGAAAAGCTCATGGAACTTTTCTGTTTCTTGGGCAACATTTTGTCCCAGGTGGGTTTGAGCCTGTTTCCCAGGGTCTGGTGTGGCCACCAGGTGTTTTCTTCTCTCACGTCTATGTAATGGGGCTGCCTTGTCCACACTCCAAGGTGGGGGCTGCAGTGTGGGGCACCACCTGCTGTGGGCCCAGTGGGCCATGTATCTTCTCCGGACCCAGTTTGGGCTTGGGTGCTGCTGTCTGCCCCCTGCAGTTGCCATGCTCCTGGCAGGCGGCGGGGACTCCTGGGCCCTCGTTCCATGCCTCCGCCTGCAGCGGGAGAGCAGCGCAGCCCCAGCCCCTGTGCCCGTCCCGCGGCCCGGCCCACCTGAGCAAACAGCCTCTAAGGACGGGGCTGGGGGTGTGAGGAGGCAGCCACCTGAGTTCTCAGTCTTTGCCCCGAGCTCAGGGGTCCGGATGATTGGGATTCTTCTTGAGCGAGTCTGGCCAGTGCAGGACAGGCAGGCCCAAGG